CAGCTCATCCATTAATACTGTTGAATCAGGCAGTGGCACAGCCTCTGTGTCAATGGAGACTGGAGAGGCTGTGTCAGAACCCGTTGTTCTAACGGAGCCAGCTGTAGAGATGGTTGAACGTGAAAGTGAATCACAAGTAATAGGAGCAGGAAGTTCAGCAGTGCGAAGACATCCGACCATCATGTTGGACCTGCAGGTGAGAAGGATTCGACCTGGTGAAAACCGCGATAGAGACAGCATCGCCAGCAGAACACGATCTCGTGCTCGCGTTGCTGAAAATACAGTGACATTTGAAAGCGACAGTGGTGGATTTCGACGCACCATTTCTCGCTCTGAGCGAGCTGGGATTCGCACCTACGTCAGCACTATTCGGATTCCTCTGAGGCGTATCAGTGAGACAGGCCTGGGTGAACCCAACTCCACTGCCCTACGTTCAATCTTGCGCCAGATCATGACTGGATTTGGAGAGCTTAGCTCCCTAATGGAGACAGAGGCCGATTCCGAAACTGTTGCACCTAACCATTCAGATCCTAATGGTACAAACGGTAACAACAGCCCAGGCAGTCGCGTGAATACAAATGAGAGTGCACCTGGCCAGGTTAGTACAGGTGGGGTAGTTCACGAGAGGGTGGGGCTGGTGAGAAGTGATGAGGACCAGAATGGGCAGGCTAGGCTCGGAGGAGTAGTGAGCACCACAGATGGACGGCCTACCAGCAGGGACACCAACAACCTAGTAGAGAACGGTACTCTACCCATCTTGCGGCTGGCACATTTCTTCCTGCTCAATGACGAAGAGGATGATGAACATCCGAGGGGCCTGACCAAAGAGCAGATTGACAATCTATCAACGCGTACGTATGGTCAGGCCAGCCTGGAGGGGGAGATTGGTCGAGCCTGCAGCGTCTGCATAAACGAGTATGTCCAAGGCAACAAGCTGCGCCGCCTGCCCTGCTCTCACGAATTCCATGTCCACTGCATCGACCGCTGGCTCTCTGAAAATAACACCTGCCCCATCTGCAGGCAGCCTATACTTTCAGTGCATCATGACTGACCTATTATCTCACAAACACAACTATCCCGCTCCTGGCTCCCTGAACTGAGCAGATCCAAGTGGGCTTTGCATGTACATAGCGCTTTCATGGTTTAATTTCTTTGATTGCTCATTGTGTTGAAGAAGGTTGAACCAAAAGTGTGGAATAAGAAACTATAAATGCAGAGAATAAACAAAACTTTATTTTTTTAGACCTTTGGTTTTCAACAACTCATTATTTTCTTTTCTTCTTCCTGTGACCTAGTTCGCTTGACTCTGCGATGACGCTTCAGAAACTTGTCTATAGAAGGCATTGATGCTTATTAAGGAGCTCCTGTAGCTGCTGCTGAATAGTCTCACTTTAAATCTTTGATGTCTGACACGCGGCAACGTCTCTGTCACGGCTGGACTATACAAATCACTTCTAGGCTCGATTTCTCTTCCAGTATAGGATGTAAATAACTCACCACTGCTTATATTTAAGGGTTTTGAAGAAAGCTGCTCTTCACATGCGATTTATTCAGAATGGAAGCAGGAAGCTTAGCTTATTTTAGCTTCATTTTTCAACATCCATTTTAAAGTGTCCCATTACAATTGGTTAAGAATTGTTTGATTTGTTGGGTATAAATGAGAAATGTCTTTAATTTTGAAACTATACTCTGTCCATCTAGTAGTATTTGTTTAAGCCCTTAACTCCCATATAGTCACAACATAGTAGTCATCCATTAAGGTAACCTGCTAAAAACAGCCACTTTGAAATCATTAACATTAGCCATATGAGCAGCACAGTTTCAATGAAATGCAAAATGTGATAATCAGGAATTCAGACTTGTCAGTATGAGTTGTGCAATGCAGAGGGGAAAAAACAGTATTGTTTGTTTTGCTGTTCATTGTTGTTTACATTGTAACGCCTGAATATCATCTCCACTTAAAGTCTTGTTAAGAAATTGATGTTTGTTCTTGGTTCCTGTTTTTAGGTCCACACCTGACAGGACCTTTGTCACGAGGTTGCGTAGTTAGCCTCTCACATGGAATTAAAAACAAAAAGAAAGAAATTGATTTTCAGTTTTTGCGGTTCTCTGGCTAACTCATAAGTCTTTATTCATGAGACTGGTGCAGGAAAAAATGTTTTTTCGATAATGAACTTGTCCAGAAATGTTCTGCTAATGAGAACCTGTTTACTCATTTTTTGCCCCCCTGATTGGGTCTGTGCAATGATAGCTATCTGTTAAAGTTTCATTGCAAGTGCACACGTGTGAATAAGGCCATGCTAGTAATATATTTCTCTTTGCTCTTTATTTGTTTTTACATAACATGGACAAATGTTGCATTTCTAGTGTAAAACAGGTGGGATATTTAGCTGAGCCACCCAGTCAGCATTTTCCCCACCAGTGTCACTTTGTACATCGGTGATTGCACAAGAGCTACTCTGCCTGTGCAGTTAACACATCACTAACAAAGCTGCAGGATTTGTGCAGTTTAGTCTGTAAGTGTGTGTGTGTGTGTGTGTGTGTGTGTGTGGTGTGTGTGTGTGTGAGGGGGGGTCCGGTGTACCAATCAAACCTGGTTCTCAGAAGGCTTCTCTCTGGTGCATGTTCACCTTAGATAAAATTGTGGGCAGTTCAGGAGTAACTATTTATTCTGTTTGTATTTAATAAGATGGAAATCGACCTCTGAAATATGAAATGTTACAATGTGATGAGAGTAAATGAAATGGTTATGATGAACATGTTACTATGTAATAAAATGAAGACGGTTTTCTTCTCTGCTCCTTAACAGTGTAATAAAATGCCGCTTTGTTATGCTGGAATTTCTACTGTATGGATGTATATGGTTGAAACTGTGTCTGCGCAGTGATTACGGCCAGGACATCATCCCATGCCGCTCTTTAGAGGATATAATAGATTAATCATCACACTTTAAATCAAACAACCACCACCAAAAGAATTCACTTTAATTTTATTATGGTGATCTTACAAGTGTAATGAGTAGAGTAACTTTTAAAAAAAACCACACACACACAAAAAGAACAGTTATTGAAATAATCTGTGTTAAGATATGAAAAACAAAGTTTGGACATTGTTAGTTCTCAGTTTTCAAAGCTATGTCATTAAAATGTACTATGAACACACACCTATCTATACGAGATCATTTGCATAATTATTAAACTAATATACAATAAGCTCAAACGTCCCAATGTTTTTATACTGAAAAATCAAGCAAAAGTATCAAATTTCACTCACACTCAGCGAAATTGATCATGAGCTACATCGATGTAAACCATATATTTGATTGGCACTTTGGGCAAGTTTTCAACTTGTAGCAATTTTTACATTTATATTTCATTGTATTTATTTTTCTATTAGGTACCTACTTCTCTTCTCCGTGTTTTCATTTTGTTTTATAGACCTGTTTCCCTGGTTGCCTTAGCGACAGAAAGCGAAATAGAGATTACACGCGCTTAATTATGCGCGTCTTTGGCGTGCGCACCAGCGTGCCATGGATACGCAGAGACTCTGTCTCCGTGACGTGCGCTTCTTCCAGGTTCCCAAGCAGGCCAGAACGACCCTCGGTCCTCCGGGAAACGTGGCAGATGTAAACAGCAGCACTGGCTACCAATAATCGGATCTATTTTTAAAGACCTTGTTAAATCTAAACTTCCACTCAGCACTTTTAATTGACCTAAGCGATAAAAGCATAAACAATTATATAATAATATATAAACTTTTTAAAAAGTACTTTGAAAACAAAGTTGCTGAGAATTTCTAATAACAAGGGAAATCTTCTAAAAGACTTAGCTGTTTGTTCAGTAAAATGTTTCTGGCTGTATCTTTATGTATTTATCTCACACTGAGCCTCTAGAGACCGGGAGCGCTTACGCGTCTTATCCTCATCCCATGCGCGCTCCCGTGGCTTGTCTGAAGCAGTGTCATAAAGCAAAACCGAATACCAGCAAAAATGTCTCGCCTTTCCTTAAAAATATGAGCCTATTAAGCGTTCACTAAAACCATTTCCAAGTAAAATAAAATAAGATTTAAAAAAAGAAAAGAAAATATATTGTGAAAAAGTGGCTGTTTTCACAATATAACAAACATTTACAGTATAGATATACTGTATATAAATATATATATGTTATAATATATAAGATATATATTTTTCATTTATTTATTTTATGCCCCTTTTATACTTTATATTTTAGACACAGAAAGGCAGCCAAATGATAGTTGGCTTTTAATATAGAATATAGTGAAAAAAAGATTTAAATAATTTCAAGTGTTTTGTGTGTATATATAAAAGGAAGCTCCTTTGACTCCTTTGGCTCTTTGCAAGCTCCTTTGACTACGATGACCTGGATGACTGAGAACCTTCACAGACATAAAAGGAAGACTTTTATTTTATCCTTGTGACAATAAAGCTTTGAAACTTGAAACTACATTTTGCTATTAGCAGGTTATGTAGCGTGACAGTTATTAGTGTTTGTACTGTTTGTTTTTTTCACTTTAAAAAAAATCAATTAATTTATTTTCTATCCTCTTAAAGCCCGAGGAATAAAACAATTGCCAGAAAATTATATATATATTTGAAAATGGAGGATTTATTGAACCATCTGATTCAATTAAAAAAATAAAAATAAATATAAATTTCTAATATTTTTATTTTTCATTTTATTGCTCAAAAACTTGTATAATTTATTTCGGTTTTTCATTAGGGAAAAATCACACGGATGACGTCTCAAAAAAAGGTGGCGGAAATACGATACAGTCGTCTTTACAGAATCCGAATCAAATAGAGTTATAGGGTTAAATAACCCGTTTTTCTCCTATACTGGACTTTGTAGGTTTAAATATGCTTCATAAATAAAACTGAGTGCACCGAAAGCAGAGGCAGGTCACCGTTTAACCGCAAACTTAAGCGTTAATTGACCGGCCGATGTCATGAATCCAGTTTATTATCGTCTAACGTAATTTTATTTTGAAAACACTGACCGGAAGCAACTATTGTGTCTAGTCTGACGCGACGCTGGAGCAGGCTGCCCTCTACACCACATCTCCGCGGTTTGACCGAGAAATAATGATCGCTGAGAAGCAGCACCAGCAGCATCGGCGGCAGCGGCGACCGCAGCCCGAGCCCATGCAGAGCGTTGCTCCCCTGCTCCCCTCTCCGTGAGCATGACACCGCTCTGGCCTCCTCGTTCTAGCCGCACCGACTCTCGTTCACCGCTCGCAAGATGTATTTCAACCGGAGAGCCAAGAAGATCCACAGCGAGGGAGGTAAGCAGCACGAAGAAACGTGTTATTTAATCTTTGCACGACCCGGGTTCCGCCCGCCGCTCTCTGCTGTCACACATCACTGTGAAGTGAATCCCACTAACGGGCCTGTCCTTTTTTTCTGCATACAGCGGCCTGTGTAGAAAATCGTGCGCTTTTGATATGTGCTTGGCATAATAACGGGGAACCGTTTTATTCGGGACTGCGGCATCCACACGGAGGGACATGCCGGTGTTTATCCTCCAGTCTCGCTCATTTCTTGGCACCGGAGAGGAATGCAAAGGGCAAGCAGACTGCAGGTGCCTGCTTCAGGTCTCATTTAGAATAGCCTGGCATCATTATGGAGGAGCCAAGTGAAGGAATTTCTGATGACTTCAATAGTATTTATCTTCCACGGGTTAAATGTGTGACCTTATCAATAAATATTGACTGCCTTGTGTAAATCTGACCTATGGCCTTGTTATGGTGTTATATAATTATGCTGTAACAGATTTGTGTTCCTCCTGTGCTGCATCATAGTGTCCGCGATGGAGTCTTAGAAAAAAAGACAATGTATTAACCTACTTTTGCTGTGATTGAAAGCGAAATATTAGCAATATAAGGTGACAAATTTACCCTCAGGCCTGCAGATCGGTCCAAGAACAGCCTATTACCTCGCCGACTTAAATGCCACGTGACTCTCTAAAGCGCTCTCCTTATCTCACCTTTATCTCAACCTTAAGGGCATCCACATCCACAGCGTGTTCAGTTTTAAAGTGCTTCACACCCTTATGTTGAATAAAGGGATGTTTCAGTCTGTTGCTCACGCGTGAATCTGCCTCATGCAACAGGATGCATTGAACCCCCGTTCATGCAAGAACCTGCACTGTCTCAGTTTTTAGCAGGAAAATGTCCTCATCAGCTAACAAGCTGGCCAGAAGGTGAGGATGCTGAAACAACCTGCTGCATCAGATGATTTCACACATGGCAAGCAGACGCTGGATTGGATTGTCCTGGAAAAGAAGAGCACGTGTTCGCCTCATCCAGTGGCTTTTAATAGTGACCGGCACATATTGTCAGGCTGCTCTGCTGTTGTGTGTGTGTGTGTGTGTGTGTGTGTGTGTGTATCTGTGTGTGAGTGTGGCTGCATGCCTCTTGCAGCTTCCAGAAATAGAAAGCAGGGTAAATTGTGAGCGCCAACTGGGCCATACTATCTTCAGGCCAGAAGTTCCACATATTTATTTGTTGTTAAAAAAAATGCATTTCCACTTTTTACAAGCAGAAGGTCAAATGGTTAAGAAAGTGACATTGTTCCTGTTTTGTAGATCCCTCCCACCCACTTATTATTTGCATATATAAATATGTTTTAAACTGAATATCAGGTGGTCTCATGATGAATTTGTTACCTTATTTACACTGTGATTTTCAGATATAATCCTGCAGCTTTTTTGGTTTCGTGGGGTCTAAAAGTTACTTTAAAGCTTTTATACTTTAAGCACAGGATGGTAGTCTAGTCAACGTCTGCATGTTTCCGCCTGGGTTCCTCACGGTGCTTTTACTGTAATCTCTTGAAGCCTGACCGCTTGATTCTTTGCTCCAATTAGCGAGCTGCCACATGCCTGGCAATGACGTCTGCAGCTGCCAGTCTGTCACATTTATTTACACACATTTGCAAAGAGAGTTATAGTTTTAACTGTTTGTATTTAAGAGGAGCCTTAGAAATATAAAGCATGTGTGTAGTAGTGAGTGCTGAGTAAAAGCATTCTGCTCCATTTGAATATCAAATCAAATCAAATCACTTTTATTGTCACATCACATGTGCAGGTACATTGGTACAGCACATGTGAGTGAAATTCTTGTGTGCGAGCTTCACAAGCAACAGAGTTGTGTAAAATACAATAATGTAAACAAGCAAAAGTGTAAGGCCACATTTTCTACTAGTGTTGATGTGCTTTCTTAATGTGAGTCATGCAGCTCAGCCAACTGTCAACAATACATCTGTTTAGGGAAGATAATGACTGGTTGTCATGGCTGCCAAGCTATCTAAGATACCATTTAGGAGATAACAGGGAGGCCCAGTAAGCTGCTGAAACAAGGCATTTACATGAAGTAGCCAGGAGGAGGCACTCCTGGGCAAGCTATGAGGGGTTTGGTCAAAGTGATTTCTGAGCAGCTGTTCAGGCTTGCATCCATCATATGCTGGCATGAGTCTCATCTCAGCTCACACACAAACAAATCATCTGGGTAGTCACTGACACGTGGATGTGCTGTGTGAGGTACAGTCTGTGTGTACTGACTTGTTGTCTTGTTTGTGTGTGTGTGTGCTGTCCTCTCTCGCCGTGGCCTCTCTCTCTTGGCGTCCACAGAGCAGTTAGTGTTGACCACCATTAGGCAGGAGTCTCCTGAGCTGCAGGACCCAGGCCAGGGCGCCGGTACTACCATGCGTGCCCGCCTCGCAGACAGGTTTGACAAAAGTGAGTTTGCTCGAATTAGACTGGATGATGCCCCCATCTGTGTCCGGAGTCCCAAGGTGCATGTACCAACAGCTAGGGGCAGGCGTGTCTCAACCCCCGGCCCTCAAGAGCTACAACATTGAGTTACTCACATTAGGATCTCAGGGTCTTTGCAGAAAAGGTTATGACACGTTATCACTGTTGTGGACTGATCATCTGTAGCTCCTTGGGGCCTGGAGTGCGATGAATGCTGAACAGGACCCTCTCACTGCATGTGCTTGTAGATATTGGTGGCATACCTGTAGCAGTTCATGCTGGTGAAGACAAAGCTATATGGGGTTTTTAAGCAAGTGCATCTGCATGCTGTAGAACTCAGCACATGCACGCATAGATATGGCATGCCTGAACAGCATGTACAAGAACACTGCTGCATGCATGTAGGTACGACTCTGGGTATAGAGAGGGGCATGGGAGTAGCTGCATGTCGATGGGTCTTTTTTTATGTTTTATGGCTTTAAAAGATTTACTTTCACCTGTTTGTGTGTATGTGTCCATAATGCAGTGTCAGTGTGTGTGTGTGCATTTGCATACATTAGTTTAAGGTGTATGAGCGTGTTGCAATCGCACCTGTGGGATTATTAGGTTATGGATGAGCAGCAGGTGAAGTTGCAGAGCAGACACAGAGGGGATTATCACGCTTGCTCACTTGGGCCGTAAGAGGCTTGCTCACCTTACTTCCTACTCTGTCAGAGCGGCCAATGGACCCACTGGGAATGATAGACGCCAGGTCTCCCGAGACCTGCAGATAGGGCGTGCAGGTCACCTAAGAGAGCAACGACAGCCATGGGACGCAGGGGTCGCCAAGGCAGACAGCGCTCTGTCGGTAATGCTTTCCTGACAACACACAGCCATTTTATTCTTGACTGGATGCAATGCATGTAGGCAAAGATGTGGGGTTTTTTGGGTGTTTCTTTTTTCTGAACTTCATTAATGTTAAATGGGGAGGGGGGAGTTGGTGTTTAGCTCAAGAACACTTTGACAGGCCTTCTTGTTGTAGAGGATGACAAATGGAGGTTTTGCTGTTAAGGGATGAGCTAACACTTTCCTGCCATTCTTTGAGGCAGGGATACCAAACACAGAAATAGAGTACTTTCATTTGCATTGTACATTCAGATAGTTGTTCAGATAATGAAAACATAGAATGAGCCAGAGGATCTGTCCCAAGTGTGGCTTGTTTGGAGTGGAAGTTCTTCGCCAACCGAGGACAATTGTATTCTGCTATAACTGCTGTTAATTAGTAGCTATTATCTTTTTGGCTAATTTCATTTCTGAGCTGAGAATTGTGTCTGCACCAGGCATGATTGGATTAGATGCCCAAGCATCTCTGAAGCTACATTCGTGCCATTTCAAACTCTATTCTGACAGGCAGTGAGGGACACTGCTTGACAGTGGAAAGCTGTGGGCGCAGCACCGGGGCGGAGTGTCTGGTGAAATATGCTCTGCCATACTGGAAAATGTTGATGAATTATGCAGCTCCCATCTATGCATTATTTATAGCCTGGCCAGCTTTTTAAACTGTGAAATTTTGGCACGAGGCCAGATCAGATTGGATTCAACACAAACCCACAACAAATTAACACCGTGTATTAAGATATTATGAAGCTTATGATAAGTAATATGCTTTGTTTTCCCATCTGAGGCCCTTTGCAAACGCTGAAACATCACATTTTGCCTGCTAGCTGTGCTAAACGTGTTTGGCTTAATCGCCTTCTCATGACACATGTATTCTCAGCAGAGAGGTGCGTAAAAGATTATCAAGCATCGTTGCATAATGGATGTACGTTTTCCTCGGAGCGTATGATTGCTCTGAGGAAAGGAGACGTGTTTTTGTTTAAGACTCACCAACAGAATGGGTGGCTGGTAGCATCCTGCAAGCAGAGTAAGAGATCAGCGTGTTAATTGAATTGGGATCAGTCTAGTCTTACCTGTTGTGGCTGCAGGTCATCAGACCTGCGCTACCTGTGTGTCTGTCTTGGGCGCTTCACGTGTAATTGACCTGGCTGCTCTCTGAATGGGGTTTGCTGCTGAGTCATCGCTGGCCTGTTCGGTAATGAGTTACGGAGGTGGTGGCATTTCTGCTCCATCAGAGATGAGTTACTGAGGCATTAATCTCCTCAGAAATGAATTATAGCTCGAGTGGGTTGCTGAAAAAGCCATTATTGATCTCGTTGGAAAGGTGTCTACAGGGGTTTTAAAAAGTGAAGTGGAAGGATGAGGTTTGTTCAATAAAAATGTCTGCCCATGTAGAAATGACCAAAAAGAGGCTGAAAACATCAGAGGTGCTCGATGGCATTATAGTTGGCATGCATTGCCGTTTATTACCTTTACCTTTGAATGTTCCTTGATCACTTCCTCGCAGCTCTTTACTATCTCAGTTGACTTTGTTGCAGTTTGCACTGTGGAGAGCTGAGCTGTGATTGGGTCTTAAATCTCCGTGTGGTCCAGAGGTAATAGCTAATGGAGATATAGAGATAAGAGGCTGTTCATTTTCTGTGGGCTTGGTTAGACTTTGACCCTTCCTCTGTGTCATGTGCGGACACGTCGCGGGCTTGTGTGGAGCGGTTGGAGTGCGCAAACTCTTGAAATGTCGAGCAGTTTTGAGGTAAAAAGCAGAAAACACGAAAAACTCACAAATATAATACCACGGAAATACGTTGGGTTCACATAACCCCCTGGTAAACTATTAAATAGGTGTAGCCGTTTCCTGTAAGCACACATAACCTTATGTCTCTTTCAGTGGAAAAAGTCTGATGGGCCAGCAGATTTGATCACGTAAGCCTGGCTCGCTTACTTCTGGGTAATTTTACAGTTTATTGGCTACTTTAGAGCCGCAGGCTTGAGTGGAATATAATAGTATTAAACTGTTTGGTTATTGATGAGGGGAGAAGATGACTCGTCTATTGTTGGAGTTCGGTAGTGCTGCAGAAATAGAGTTTCAGGACTGTGGAAATTCAATCTTGCAATTAGCCTGCTGTTGTTTTCACTTACAGATTCACTGACAGAGAGTACACAGATCCCAACAAACTCAGAGCATTGTGATGCATATGATTTCATTATGCGTTATATTTGCAACAGCTTTTAGGGAATAGTATTACAATGACACAGCGCGTACATTTGGCCTATTATACATTGCAATTTTGGACATGCAGAAACACAAACGACTATATAATCTATACAACCTGCAAGAAGTGACTGTTGCTGCTGTTGCAGAGGCATCACAGTGGAGGGAAGCAACACGAAGTGATCTGATGGATAGCTCCAGCTTCACGGATGTTATTTGACCCATCTGGTAAAGTGCCACTAGACCTTAAGGCGATATCAGGCTTCTGGCCCTTTAAAGACGAAACCCCGGCTTTGCCCCTCCGCAGCACTGAAGGAGCTCCATATGGCTTCCTCTACTTGTCTGAGCTGGTAACAGCGAGCGGCTCGATACCACACCAGAGGGAGGAGATCGTCCAAAAAAAGAGACGGATAAAGGCTTCAAGAGGCGGCAGGTGGCCAGATGACACGGCGGCGGAGCTTCTCGGGCCAGTATCTTTCAGCACCGGGGCTGGGAGTTTCCTGCTCAGCAGAGCCAAAGGAGGGCAGAGGGAGGACGGGCGTGCTGCTGCATCTGTCCTCGCCCAGGTTCGCCGTTGTTCCAGCTGAGTAAACTGTGGCGTCCCGACCTGTTTGGGTGTCCGTCACTCCCCTAACGGCTCCACAGAACCGCACTTACTCCGCGTTAATGCGCACGCTTGATGATGAAAAACTGCCCGGCTCCCGGAGCTCATGCGGGGGTGAATGAGCGGAGATCACGACGCTTTAAAATGGTTGGAGACGACAAAGCCGGGAGGGCGGGCGGGGAAGCAGCGAGTCTGCAGGAGGAAAAGCGTGGTGCATCCTACTCTGCCACTTTCCCCCCCTTTTTTTTTTTTTTGATAATTTGTTCTTAATGATGGTCGCGATGCGCGAGGAGGTTTCTCAGTTTTACATTTGAGCAAGTTGAAGTGCTGATTTAAAAAAACAACAACAACAACAACAACAAAAACCAAACCGACCCGGTGTGTTTGTTCGCCATTGTGCATCCCTCAGCACATCCATTATACGCGGGGGGTCCCGTGGGCGTCGGGAAACGCGCGTGTGTGCATTGACGGTACCTGAAAGACAAGAGGGGGGTGTTTATAACGGGAAACGTCATTGAATCAACCCCGCCGGCTTCAGCATACATCAGCATACAGTAGCCTCTAGTACTAATTAGTCGCCCTCGCTTTTGAACCTAAACCACGTCTCCAGTCTCTGTCTCTCTCGCGCTCTCTCTCCCCTTCCCTCCCTATCTCTCTCTCTCTCTCTCTCTCTCTCTGCCTCTCATTCTCTCTCGCACTCACTCAGCCTCGCCTCTCTCCCATCAATCCAACGGTGCAGGACCTGCTTGCTCGTCCGCCGGTTACCGCAAGGCAGATGATGAGATGTCCGGGACCACTTCCCATGCGGATCCCGTAGACGCCTCGGCGCGGACGGTGCTTCTCAACCGGCCTCAGAATACCAAGTTCTGCGACAACCATGTCAGGTAGGCGTCACCCCCGAGCTTTTAACTTTTGCTACAAAGCATGCCTTGCGTGCCCTGTGGTTTTACGCACTGCTTTTTTAGGAATAGAGGACTGTGCTTCCTGACTAGCTGTCAGCAGAGAGAGAGAGAGAGAGGCGGGAGGATTTTACCCAAAATAATTGAAAACTTTTTTTTGTTGCTGTAAAAAACAAAAAAGCACTTCAAACCGTTGCACACCTCAAAAGTCGGTCAGACTGACTTTTGTGCAGATTTTTAATTGTTTGTTTGCACTCATCTTATTATTGGTGACCCATCTTTAGTACGCCTACATTTTTTTTGTGCATGTACCATTTCAAGTCAAAGCACACAACCAGAGTGTAGATATCTGGTGTCGTACTAAAGAACACCATTTGCTCACAGGGGCTTTAGACCAACATTGTCAGGGTGAAGTATCCTCTCTTCTTCTGCAGAGTAGTCTTTGGACGAGTGAGACTTAGTTTATTGTCCTCTTGTAATAGCTCTCTTTGTTTTAGTTTTGATGAAATCACACTGAATGTTTTACTTTAGAATACTATTAGGGGTGGATGTCTATTGACAAGCCAGTTTAATAACTCACCTATTAAAAAGCTTGTTTGTATCTCTGCAGCAGTCTAAAGGCTGAACATATGTCCACTGCCTAAAGGACGCAGGAGGATCTCAGTGGAAAAAGATTTAATCAGTATACGTCCTCATGAATAATTTTGGATGTTAATCAAAATAAAGATACGTGTTAGAAAGAAAATTTAGAAGAAGGTTTCTTTTTCTGTTCCCCTGTTGTCACAGTGTCTACTGTGCTTGTGCTGATTAGATTTCACTGAGGATCAAAGCTGTCCACTCTTATCTCTCATGACTCAGTCAAAGATCGTAGCTGTGGGGACTACAAAAGATTCACCTAGTGTTTTGGTGGTCCCCGGTGCTTCTGCAGCCAACATATGTAATAATCTGTCGTAAGTAAGGTTCACGGGCCGAGCCAAACAGCCTGTGCTGCGACAAAGAGTCTCTTTTATCAATCTCTTATTGTCCCAGCTGTCATTAGAATACTTTACTGGCTCAGCTGTAGTAATAAATAGAAACTCAGTCAAGTCTGATTCAGGCAGACACCAGTGAAATTTGGCTCTTGTTGCTGTTTGCATGTTGTAACTGAGGCCGGTGCCATGAGGAGACCAGGGTTCGCAGTCGGTGAGCGAAAGGCTCACCGGGAGAGTCAGTTCCACTTTTAAAAAGAGCCCAATTCAGCTCTACAAAGAAGATTAAGGTGGTTGCTCCCTTGCTCCTCTGATTGGATCATGCATGGCGTGTTGCCCCCACTGCATGGTGATTGGAGAGGCGGGAGCACTCTGGCTCCAGAGGCATGGCCTTTGATGTCTCCGTGTTCCTGTAAATCTTCAGTTTGTGTTTTAAAAGTTCAATAGCACTATTGATTTTTTTTTTACGGGGGCGGAGATTAAAGCCTTGTAGCTTTTATCTGTATACTCAACTCACCTCTTCTCCAATTTCCCAGATCCATCGCTTCCTTTTTTTAAAAAATGTACGTGTTGTTGTTTTCATAGCACATTGCCATTAAGCACAAAGTAACATGTGCATAACTCATGTTCTTCCCATTATATCAATGACTCTTCTCCGACCTCGGCCCAGTTCTTAATGCATGAAGAACTCCGTCTGTTTTTTATAAAAACATGTCAAAGCCACACAACTGCAGGAGAGCATCACCCCTGCAGCTGACAGCTGTTAACCCCACCAGCAAGTTGGACATTTATGCTATAAAAAAATAACACCAGCAGAAGTTTTGGGTTGTTTTCTCTCTTTTTTTCCCTTTTTTTTTTTTTTTTGCTAAAGCACTGGAAGCCGGGGTCTTGCTCTTTGTGGCATCTGGTATCACTTGTCTGTGGTTAGATTGAGGCTACCTTATCTGCTCGATCATCGGTGTAGCTTCATTGACTCTGACGTAACCAGAGCATCTGGGTTAGACTCCAGTTCTGAATATGTCACACAAACAGGTTTTCATATTATAAAATCAAAGTTGTTTTAGCGCAGGTTCAGAAACAGTCACGTACACTGGGCATGTGAGTCACAGTGAAAACAGAAAGCAGACAGTTGGTTGCTTGTACACAAAACTGCAGGAGAAGAACTAGAGTGCCAACAAGACTTCTTTACTTGGATCGACCATCAGGTGGTACTCTTACTGAAAGTATCAAGCGAGTATATGGTTGTCATGGCAGCAGGGGGAAAAAAAGTAATTGCAAAGCAAGTATGGCGACATTTTTAAGAGAGGTACTGAGGGGCGTTATCCATCGCCAAAGGATCGTAGGGCAGTGGAAAAAGGAGTACCCACGTGAAAAGGATCACATGTGGGCTTAGCTAGATGTGTTTTGACTTAATTATGGCGATGGATAGAATCCAATTAAAAAGCGACTGTAGGTGTTTGCATCCAAAAAGTCTCCATTTCTGTCCAAACTAAGACGCAGTTTTAATTTTGTTTAAGTTAAAACTGGATAAACAGGATTTTCAAATGTCTCTACTACCCTTTTGGGTGTTTTAGAAGTTGCAAAACACTACAAAAGTTACGCAAAAATGCATTAGTGTGGCTGTACCCAGAGGACAGTGTGTGACAGTGTGACTGAAAAGCATCTGTTGGGCTTCTGTCTTTTTAGTTTTTTGGTGTGTGTGTAACATCCCGGCCTTTATCGTTCTGTGTCGGAGTGTAAGGCAGATGGCGAAAGCAGTTTTGGGTTCATCTCCAAGGAGATTCTGAATTGTGATAGAGGAGTGTGTTTTGCCATTTGCTGCATGCAATCTATGCCCTCACGCACGCTAACGCACACTGTCCATTATGCAGTCGGAAGCGGAGGCTCTTACTGTTCACTCAGGCTGCACAGGGGAAAAAAAGAAAACAACACAAAAACAAGGCAGGCCTTGACTTGAAGGTTGACTTCTTATTTTTAGCTCATCTGAAAGCTCTTACTGTAGCTCCTGGCTATAACAACGCTAATCGATACAGGTGTCTGATCAATACAGATGACTGACAAAAAGGTTGCCAAGGCTTCTTTGCGCTGTTTTGGGGTATTTTGGGGTCTAAATTTAGTGTTGGATTAAACGTCTTGGCCTATTTATAGAGAGGGTTGTGTTTGCAGGACGTAATGGCTCTGTTTTGCACTCTCTGAGCACAATTTTGTGTTTGTAAGAGATTTTCAAGTGCTGCAATATTAAAACCCAAATGGACTTCTTTGTTATTCAGCCTTTAAGGTAATGCTACTCAAGCATTCCCTGAGTGAGGGGGAAAAAAATCATTAGCTCACAATTTATGCATGAAGTCCCAGCTTTGCTAAAGCTTTACCTGACTTTTCCGGCATCTCTTTGAACGTAAACAACTTTCTTTTTGTCTTTCTTTTGTTCGCACTGTCTTCTTCTACAGCACCACAAAGTATGGGATTCTCACCTTTCTGCCGCGCTTTCTGTACGAGCAGATCCGACGTGCTGCCAATGCCTTCTTCCTGTTCATCGCACTCATGCAGGTAAACCCCAGCAGCTGCCAGCGCTGTTTGCTCAGCGAACTGTTTGTTTGATTTCTGCACTCAGCCCAGCCTTTAGATGCTCCGTCCTGCAAAGCCTATTTCATCGCATGTCAGAGTGTGCAAAAAGTCCACCTTTAAGGGAAATGCGGTGTTATGAAATGGCATTTCTTCTCTTTGCGATCAGCTCTATCAGCAGCAATTTCTCTCTTTCTCCCTCATTAGCAAATCCCTGATGTGTCACCGACCGGTCGCTACACCACGCTCGTCCCGCTTATCTTCATTCTCACAGTGGCCGGGATCAAAGAGATCATAGAGGACTATGTGAGTATCACCATAGCGTGGGTAGAAGCCAGCTTTTAACTCATTCATAAACTGGAAAAGTGATGCGTTGTGGGGCTAACTTAATCGTCGTTCATCTCGCCACAGAAAAGGCATAAAGCAGACAACACGGTCAACAAGAAGAAGACAACAGGTATCACGCGTGTGCTTGTTAATGTGCTTTCAGTTTTTCATGAGAGTGCTCGTGTGTGCGTGTATTTGCGTGGGCTTTGTTTTCCTTTCATGTCAGGGTGAATGGCTGTTGTCTATCAGTCATTATAGCGCAGGCCGCCGTGCCCCAGACAAATGTTTAGTGGCTATGAATACTGCATGAGAGCTGCTCTATAGGCTGACTGATGGCTGTGTTGTCCTTGTCTCTCAGTGCTGCGGAGCGGAGCCTGGCAGACATTTATCTGGAAACAGGTATCGTCACATTCTTCGACTCTCGTGCTCTGACTTATCTCTCTTGCTGTTTCACAACACTGATTAGCCTGTTTCATTGCCACGAGCGACGTCAAATAACGTTGAAAGAAGTATGAGAAACTCTCTTACTGTACTGAATGAATTTCAGGTATTGTAGAAAAGCATGCAAAAGAAACAAAAAGTGAACGCTTCGGAATGAAATACTTCAACGCAAGAGCAGTAACCCTCATGAGATGATAAAAAATAACCGTTAGTACATCTGATTATGTCCGTTAGAGCTAAGAGATGGCTTTTAATGTGGACTTATTCCACCGTTTCCCACACCTATTCTTTATTTGTTCAATAGACTGTCCTATGAGTACTTTGGATCCTTGACAGGCAAAACACGCTTGTCCAATTAGTAGTCACGTTTCATGATCAGATAACAAGCGCATCTAATTGTTCTTCAGGGGATTAATTTGTCCAGTATTTCAAACAGGCACATCTTTTTTGTTGAATAGTTGCGTTTTCTCCGGTGGTTTGCAGTTCATTGAACCGAGTGAGTGTATAACCCGCTCACACAAAGCTTTTTCCTTCCAGTCTTTTTTGTCATTTCTGCAGGGTTGTGAATGTTCTTAGCGGACATGCCCATTAACTGAGTCCAGCTGTGCACAGTCTTTCTCCAGCAGGTCAAGTCAAATCAAATTTGAGCCCTCGTTATGCGGATGACAGACGTCTACAGCAGAAATTAAGCCCCATTGTTTCACAGTGACACGACAGGTGCAGGAATTTGATTCAGTCGCCCTTCAAGCCCTTAAATAACTTTTCAGCAACTTTGGGTTCGCTAGATCATAAAATCTGTTTTTGGAAGAGTTTTTGCTTTTCTTTCTATTAATGAAAGTCTGAGGGATTCTTTAAAAAAGTCGCCCTTGCCCTTCATACGTGATTATAATAAGATGCAGGGTCAGTACAGTAGTTTTTTTTGTTTTTTTGATTGTGTAGGAATTGGCAGTGTCACAGTTTACATCCTATCCAAGATTGTCACATTTCTTGAAGCGAAGCTTACCTCCCCCCTTCCTGTGTACTTGGAAAACAAGTTTCCGGCTTCTGATCCGAGGAGAACCGACAGCCTGAAACACTTGCGTAGTTTCTGCAGTGCCTGATGTAGCAAACTGGCAGTGTTTTAGCATGACTGTCTACAGTTATAAAGTCAGCTCCACATGCTTTGCTCTGACCTTGGTTCTCTGAAGTTATCATGCATTCCTTTTTTTGGAATTGGGTCATTTGGGGAAACTTCTCAGCTACACGAGGACTTTCTTTAGGAATTGTAATGTGTATATACTTTTAAATCAGCTGCAGAATTTCCTGGAACACTTCACAAGACAAAAGTGTTCCTTCTCTTTTCTTCTTTCTTGCTCATGAATCGCATAAAACTTCAAACTCGTCTTTTTTATTTGGCTGCATCCTCTGCTGGTCACATATTATTAACCTGCCCATTGTTTCCTCTCTGTCTTCATCTCTTACCCCTCCTGTTCTATGTTACCCTCTGCCTCAATGCCCCTCTTCTTCCCTGTCTCATGCTGTTGCACTGCTGCGTCCTGGCCACAAGGTGGCAGTAGGAGATATAGTGAAGGTGACTAATGGCCAGCACCTCCCAGCTGACATGGTTATAGTGTCCTCCAGGTCAGAGTCCTGTGTCTCTCTGTCTGTGTGAGCATGCTGCATGTACCTCATTAATATATTCTAAACATCTGTTAAGCTGCTTTTAAGGGCTGCTGCTAATGTTTATTTTTATTTGTGGTTCATTTATTATTTTTGTTAAATGGATAAAAATAATAATCAGTCATTTTTATCTTAATTAATTCCTAAATATTTAGCTTATTATTTATCAACTTTAAATTTAAAATATTATAGTTATTTACAGATCTTTGCAGGCAATGTTTAATGTTCAGAAATAACAGTTTATGGTTTTCTGTGCATTGTTGTTGTTGTTGTTTATCTTTATAGTGTTTTTAATCCAAACCTGCCTTCTTCTCTGCAGTGAACCACAGGCCATGTGTTACATTGAGACCTCTAACCTGGATGGAGAAACCAACCTGAAGATCAGACAGGTGGGTTGTCTGTCTGTCGTTCGTACGTCTCGTGGATGTGACGTCTCTTCAAATGTCCCTCATTTTGCCCCAAAGGACGACTTGAAAATCGACCGATTAAATTTTCAAAGGCAAAAACAAAGCAAATTTGTAATTTTTTAAAGAATTTTGTACAAAGTCCAGTAGTGCAGTTGCTTTTTCATACTTTGTCTGGTTAAACCGTTGCCTCAGTAAGCGCTCCTTGACTTTACTTGTCATGCCTTTGCTTTCCAGGGTCTCCCACTCACAGCTGGGCTTCAGACCCTGGAGGATTTGATGGCACTGTCTGGTCGTCTGGAGTGCGAAGGCCCCAACAGACACCTGTATGACTTCACTGGCACTCTACGGCTGGAAAACCAGAAGTGAGAGACATACTTTTTTTCCTCGTCACTTAGGTTTGAGCTCTAGCAAAAAACCTCTCTTTCATTCAGTCCAGTCCCTCTGGGTCCAGACCAGGTGCTGCTGCGTGGCGCCCAGCTCAGGAACACGCAGTGGGTTGTGGGAATTGTTGTCTACACTGGCCACGACTCCAAACTGATGCAGGTAAATCCTCTGCCGTGTTCTAAGTCAGTAAACTGTGAATAAGCATGAAAAATCTGGCATTTGAAGCCAAATTTCAAACTGTTTATTAATTAGGATCTCTTCGTCATCCTTGCCTGGGCGAGTTTAGAGCTTTCAGTTAACCGTGACACATTCTTAACCGGGACTGCATCCAGACTAATCTTCAGCTACACTCTTTGGATTGCTCGTGCATTCTCCTGCTAAAAATGGATGAAAATCGGTCATCTGAATTATGCATTTCTGTTACTGTTTGCGCGCAATAATTAATTGAGTAAAACGTAGCTCCTAACAAAAGCCTTTCCAACTCCCAGAACTCCACCAAGGCGCCACTGAAGCGCTCTAATGTGGAGCGGGTGACCAACATGCAGATTCTGGTTCTGTTTGGCATCCTGCTGGTCATGGCACTGGTCAGCTCTGTGGGCGCAGCCATCTGGAACAGAGAACACACAGACGAAGCCTGCTGGTACCTGTCCCGGGCCGGTGAGACCATAACGCGTCAAGATTGCTTAAGTCTCATTATAGTACTTGCATGTTTGGGTAAATCTGGGTTATTACATGAAGGAATTTTGTCTGCGACTTCAGGCGACATCTCCCTGAACTTTGCATATAACCTACTGACGTTCATCATCCTGTACAATAACCTGATCCCCATCAGCCTGCTGGTCACTCTGGAGGTGGTGAAGTTCACACAGGCTCTCTTTATTAACTGGGTATGACCCGTGCATCATTTTTAATGCGTGCTTATAAACTGCAACTGGTCGATTACACGCTTACTTCAAGTGTTTTTTTGCTCTTGTCCTCAGGATGTGGAGATGTACTACTCAGAAACGGACACGCCAGCCATGGCGCGAACGTCTAATCTTAATGAGGAACTGGGCCAGGTCGGTTCCTCGCCCTCTTCGTAATGAGCTGCTCTAAAACATCCTGCTTTTGTTCTCGTTACTCACCGTCTGTCTTTTTCTAGGTCAAGTATCTGTTTTCCGACAAGACCGGAACTCTGACCTGTAACATCATGCACTTTAAGAAGTGTACCATAGCCGGGATAACGTATGGGTCAGTTATCGCATCTGTAAATAAATTCTCACCTCTTTTTCTCTCAGATCGTCTTACTGATATTTCCTTATCAGCCTGTGTTAGATGAACTTAATTAGCATTAGCTGCTGCTCAGTTGATTAATCTCGTGCATGCTTAATTAGATGAACTAATCAAATTCATCAACTGATTTCAAACTAATTCCTTTTGCATTTCCACCGCATTCATTACTGCAGCCACTTCCCTGATCTTGACTGTGAGCGTTCAATGGACGACTTCAGGTTAGTGACCACCTCCCCCTCAACATCAGCCTTTCTCTTTTTAGTGGTTTTTTCCTCATTTTGTGCGTTGGACTCTTTCCTAAATGTTTACCTGCTTTTATAAATTATGTCTTGTAGCCTGCAAAGACCCCCCCCCCCACCCACACACACACACACACACACACACAAACACAAAAAAAAAATAAAATACATTTGGATTCTTTTTTTTTTGTCTTTTAGTAATCTGCCATCCAGCAGCCACAACTCCACAGAGTTTGACGACCCAACTCTGATTCAGAACATCGAGAAGGACCATGTGAGGCTTTTCTCTTTCTTTCTTTGAAGCCAGCTGTCTTGGAGGCTGTTGCTAATAACCACGTTCACTCTGTTTGCTCGCGGGCGTTCAGCCTACATCACCTCAGATCTGCGAGTTCTTGACGATGATGGCGGTGTGCCACACGGTGGTTCCAGAGAGGGAGGACGACCAGATCATCTACCAGGCCTCGTCCCCTGACGAAGGAGCACTGGTCAAAGGAGCCAAAGGGCTGGGCTTTGTCTTCACTGCCAGGACCCCTGATTCAGTCATCATTGAAGCTGTAAGTGTGTAACCGAACACGTCTCTGGAGTCGCAGCTACTTTTTGGACAGGAGCTGACATTTTTTTGTGGGTTTCAGATGGGGGAAGAGAAGAGCTATGAGCTACTGAATGTGCTGGAGTTTTCCAGGTGAGCTTGAAGTTGATGTTTTTCTTAACCAGTGATAAAATGCTGATATGAGACTGCTTTGGGTTGAGACTAAACGAAATTGTCTTTACAGTAACCGTAAACGGATGTCTGTGGTGGTCAGGACACCCAATGGGAAGCTCCGGCTGTACTGCAAAGGAGCGGTGCGTTTATCCCATTATCAGTAAATTCAGATGTTAATGAATGTAAGGTAATGGTTTTAATTTAATGGTCAATTCCTTGTTTTGTAGGATAATGTTATTTTTGAACGTCTGACCGAAGCGTCTCAGTACAAAGACTTAACAGTTGCTCATTTGGAACAGTTTGCTACTGAAGGTAAGAAGGTAGATTTTGTAGTTTTTGATTTTTAAGGCTTTTCCTCTGTAAGTCAGACTTAAGTCACAAATTTGTTGGCATTTGGTGGATGTCTTGCAGCTAACAGCAACTATTTCAGCTCAGTAACAAGGCTTTGACCAGCTTATCTTCCTTCCATCCACTCAGGCTTGAGGACACTGTGCTTTGCGTACGTGGACCTGGAGGAAGAAGCGTATCAGGAGTGGTTAAAGGAATATAATCGTGTCAGCACCATAATCAAAGACCGCGCTCAGAAGCTTGAGGAGTGTTATGAGCTGCTGGAAAAGGTAAACACAACATCTCTTTGTCTAAAATGATGTGTGTTGGTGACCTCCTGTTGGTTTATTCTGTTGTATTTATCCGCGACACCTTAAAGGCTAGGAAAATATTTTTTGACATTAAACTTCTTCACCTTCTGGCTGAATATTGGACCAATCATCTTGGCAGAACTGGTAGGGTTAAAGTTGTGGCATTAAATACATTGTACATTGTAATTATGTACAATTGTCTGAACTGATGATCTTGGAATCCTCAGTTGATTAGAAATGGCTCCCAAAGATCTTCCAAGTTTATGTAAATGTACAGGTTCCTTGGATTTCCCCATTGTTTTGAGTATTGATCAGTCCAGTGAGTGCTGTCAAACAAAAAAAATTGATGCTGCCAAAGAGAAAATACCAGTTGCAGTCAGTCATGATCACTAATGGGAAGTTAATGGGCCTTGGTCTCGTCAAGTTAAAAGACAGTCTACTTCTGACCCTGTGTGGATCTGAGAAAATCCAAAATGAATTCAAGGTCATACACCCAGTTACTGTTTTTTAGTCATTAAAGATGTCTGGTGTACAGTCATTCCACCCTGGAAAAACAACAGTTCAAAGAAGTCATTAAAAGCCCCGGATTATCACGACATTCAAGCCCAAGATGAGTGTGTAAACTTCAGACCACAGCTGTCTCTCAGTTATTCACCCTGCTGCATTTTCCGAGGTATTTTTGTGTCTGGTTGGTAAGCATGGTTGTGGTTATCACTCTCCACAAATATGCTACACGTAAAACTGGAGACTGAGGAGCAATCCCCCCACCCCCACCCGCCCGGAGCCTACAGATGGATGTTGGCGTGGTCAAAACAGCAGGCAGCAATGCAGGGCGGCAGCAGTGGTGCTGACATGTCAGAGGGAGAGATGACACATTTTGCAGCTTAAATAGACTGCTAATTTGGGAGGGCATGTTTGGGATATGACGTGAGGAGAGTGAGGCACGCTAGTCCGTATGACACAGTGCAGCTTGAAGTGTTGCTCGTCTGAACAAACTCTGAGACTTTGATCCTTTTAGTTGCACCGTGGCTGAAAGATTGTAAGCAAAATATTTGGAAAAGGCTGAAAAACTGAGGTAAGCTAACAATAAACAGAATAGAAATACAGTCAGATTGAGGAGACATGGAAGAATTGATCTGATAAATGCACAGTGTGATTCACTCATGCAGAGAACGAAATGCTGCTTGGTGGCCAGCAGGTGGCAGAGTGGCTCCATTTAGGGCCACGCTTGGGACTGGAGCTGGTGCCATTTCTTTAGGTATTCATTATGGGGTTTTTTTTTAAATTTGGAAAACACAGTTGAAGTCGCCTTTTAAGGCATTTAAAAAATAATCATGATTTAAATGCTAGTCTGTGCTCACAGGTAGAACATAGTGAAAGTGAATTGCTGTTTTGGTTTAAAAAAAAAAGGATAAATAAGAGGATATGGGGATTAACAGTAGAGCAGTGAATTGTTTGGTGGGGAAATCAAGGTTTTAGAGGAGAGAGGCAAGGTGAGAAAAGTAAGTGAAGAAATGAAAAGAAAGAAAGAAAGAGGAAGCAAGAGGAGGGGGTTAGGTTTGACTGGAAGACCGCAAGGGTAATTACCTTCACCAGCATGCCAAAAGCCCCATAAAACTGGAGTCAACAACACATTAGTGTTAACTTGTGTGTCTGTGCATGTGTTTGTGTATGTCCGAGTGTGTCTAATGAGGGTACACGTGCATATAAATGCTGAACAAATTAAAGCGGGGGGAGGGTTATGTCTTGGCATGGAGAAACAAAGTTGGTACAGAAATCTAAAGTGAGCTGAACCGAATCTGCTGGCATCGCTCTCGCCCTCAAATTAGACGTGGATGATGCCGTCTGGGGAAAAAGAGCCCTCACATACACTCTGGTGATGTCTATTTCTGGCCTAAATATGATTGTTTTTAAAACCTCGTTAAGTATTCTGTGCTATGTTTTGTTCCCTCTCTTTTAGTCGAACTTTATTTCTTTTTAACAGAATATGTCTGCATGTCTTTCACGCTCCTCTGCTCCTCTAACAGAACTTAATGCTGTTGGGTGCCACAGCCATCGAGGACCGTCTCCAGGCTGGCGTGCCAGAAACAATTGCCACTCTGATGAGGGCTGATATCAAGATCTGGGTCCTCACTGGAGACAAGCAGGAGACTGCCATCAATATAGGTGAGAGACGCTTAAATAACAATGTGAGGGTAAAATGTTGCTTTTAGCAAGTAAACTTGCTGCTGCAGTTTCATGTGCAACAGCGAAGCAAACTGAATGTATTGTGGAGTTAATGAAATCATGGCTGGAAGAATAGCAGGCGTTATGCGGGCTGTGAGATGCCTGAGATGCCTCCATTCTCTAAGTGGAAAGTGCCTGCGACCAGTGTAGCCACCGTCTGGGGGACTGCGGTGACATGAGTGGGTTTAGTGTCTTGGCAGTCGCGGAGAAAGTTGGTGGCAGACGTCCAAAAAAAACAATGACGGGAAGAGGAAAATGTGAGCTGACACTTGTCGCTCCAAGTTTAAAAGCTGGGGCATCCTCAGAGATGGCGCAGATCATCTTGTCAAAGTGTGTACGAGCGTTGATTTCCTGATTTACTGCAGGGAAATAAGGCTGGTCACAGGCTGGTGAAGGAACTCATATTGGTGTGTGTGCGTGTGTGTGAGCCAGGACTGTGTCGAGTTTTCACCTGTGTTTTGGGTTTGAGAAAACTTAATCTCTTTTCCTCCCCTCCTCCTCCTCCTCTACCCTCCACTTATCTGTTTCTGTTTCTCAGGTTACTCCTGTCGCCTGGTGACACACGGCATGTCCCTCATCATCGTCAACGAGGACTCGCTGGACGTGAGTAGGCAGGCCTCTTCCTCCTCCTTCGTGCCTCTAGATACTTTGTACAGCGTTGAGACTTTTTGTTGACTTTTAGGAGATAGTGGGCTGTGTGGTGGGGGTCTTAAGAAGGTTACCGTGGGAACAAGGGTGTGGTCTGCAGCCAAGATCGGTGGGTGGGGCTCTTTGTGTGTTCACAGGTGCAGGTAATTAAAGTCTCTGGTGTCCTCTTTGGAGAAAGGGATGAAAAGAGACGAACACTGCGCTGTTGCTTCTTTGCCCCTCGGTCTCTTCCACATACAGCGCTTTCAGTGCTCTTACAGTGGTCTCTCCTTCTTTTATCATTTCCTATTTCAAGCTAAATCCCAGAAGAATGAACAAAGCTGATGTGTTCAGTCACTTTATGATCCTGTCGCTATTTTGAGATCTGAGACATTCCTTTACTCTCGATTAGATTTTCTAACCCCAGTTATGTGTTCTTTGCATTCAACCTCCTTGTGTGACTGCTTCACCTAAGTGGCTTGATTGCTGTCATGTGTCCCTGTCTTTCAGACAGTCTCCCTGAGTCCCACGTGTGCGCTCGCACAAATATAATCACCATTACTCGGTTTGTTTTTATGGAGATTATGACTCGTAAATTTCAAGCTTAAGCACTCTGTGTGTGCCCTTGTATTAGTTTATTTGTTTATATGTGCGTAGTGTGTGGTAAACATTCATAAAGAGATCTCTGTGTTTACATTCAGAATTTTCTAGCCTCATATAAGTCAGTGTGCAGATGGTGTGTTTCCTGGACTGTGGGTTTGTAGAGTAATTGGATTTGTCTCCGGCATGATCCCTCCATAATATGGTTTACTGGTCTGAATGGATTTTATTGTTGGTGACGATTATGAATTTAAGTGTAAAGCTGTGCACTTTTAATTGTTTTGGATTCTTGCATTATGCTGAATTGTAAAGCTCTGACTAGTAAACTTTACTCTGTCAAAATTAGCAAAGTGATGTCTGAAAGCTCTTAGATTTGGGGAACTGCTGGTCAGATAACATGCAGGCCACTTAGATGCTAAATCAATTGAATTTGATGGGGTAAGCATTTAACCTTAAGGTAACGAGGGTACTCTACACTGGGAATTGCCTATTAGGACACAAGGGTGAAAACTAATCTTAGCGCTGTAAGCGGATCAATCCTAAACTGGTTTGTAAAATATATTTTAGCAGACTGTCTCCCACGCTGATCATGTACAGTTTCAAGCCTGATGGGTTTGTGGTACTCCATCTCAGAACTGAACTTTCACTTGGACTAAATGTAATTATCAAAAGGTTTTGTAGGGCTAGGAAAATTGGAAATTAGTGCAGCGATTTCTTAAAACATGTGCATTTATACATGGAAATATAGTATATAAAGGAAGGAGTTTGTACAGTTCTAACAAGCTTAAAGGTTAATATTTGGTGTGACCACCTTAATTTTTCAACACAGTCTGAACTCTCTTAAACAGCTTTCTTGTAAATTCTTTAAGTAGTCTTCAGGAATAGTTCTCCAGGCTTCTTGAAGGACATTCAAAGCTCTTCTTCAGATGTTGGCTGCCTTTCGTTCTGTTTTCTGTCAAGATGATCCCACACTGCTTTAATAATGCTGAGGTCTCTGCTCTGGGGAGGCCGATCTATGGCTACATACTGACGATGATTCAAACCAAAAAGCTTTAAATTTGGATTAATCACTCCGTAAGAACATTTTTGCATTTTAATGATCAAGGAACTGGCCTCACAGCCCATTGCTCATTCAGTGGGCTGGTTTCAGTCATTGTGCAAATGTAATGTTTATAGGATTGGGGAAACCTGTAAGTCAGCTGAGACCGAAGAAGTCCAGATTAAGAGAATCAACCTTCTGCCACTCTGTAAGACCCGTTGCAACTGATTTTCAGTGGAATTTTAAGCCCAACTTCCTTATAAACTTGCTCTACACAAATAATGAATAGGCTGAGGTAGGCTCAGTATCATCTAAGTTAAAGGTTCATTTTATGTGGGGCTGCAGGTCAGAAAAGAAAATTTTGTATTCATACAGAAGTTAAATTTTTCTATACATGAGAGTTAACGTGGCGCCACGGTCGTGGCGACCGTGTCAGGGTCAGGTCGTGGCGACCGTGGCTCAGGGGGTTGGGAAGTGTATCTGTAACCGGAAGGTCGCCGGTTCAATCCCCGGGCTCTCTGTCCTGGTCGTTGTGTCCTTGGGCAAGACACTTTACCCTGCTTGCCTACTGGTGTTGGCCAGAGGGGCCGATGGCGCGATATGGCAACCTCGCTTCTGTCAGTCTGCCCCAGGGCAGCTGTGGCTACAACCGTAGCTTGCCTCCACCAGTGTGTGAATGTGAGAGTGAATGAATAGTGGCATTGTAAAGCGCTTTGGGTGCCTTGAAAAGCGCTATATAAATCCAATCCATTATTATTATTAAATAAAATCACATTGCAGCTCAAACTAAGGAGAAAAAGTCTGATATAAACACGTAAGCAGCCACTGGATATTTTTCAAAGTAAAACCTGAAACATGCCAGGAAGTGATCTTTAATATGATTCAGTGTTTTTCTTTTGATAATAAATTAAAACAACTTAGCAGGAAATCTATTTTTCAGCTTCAAAGTTTGGCCTCCGTTCACTTTAATGGGGACAATTCACCCTGCTGATGCGTCCTTGAGCAAGATTTCAAATGTTCACCAGCTCTGGGGAGGCTCTTCTGTAGTTTGTTCCAACTTTCTTGTGCAGCAGGGTCAGGACAAAAGGCAGAATCTCATAAGTCTGAGTTTAAAAAAAGAAAAAGATACTGTTTTGATTCAGATGGACTTGTTTGTTGGTTGAACAAACACATTTCATTTGGCTGCAGGTCAAAAATGCAACTTACACACATAGGCAGGAAGAGTCACAGCTGGCTGACGTGAAACATAAATGAAGCGCCACACGTAGCGATATAAAATATGCCTTCAAGCTTGCGGTGTTTGCAGGACGGACGCACTTTAAAGTGGTTGTAAATGCAACGCAGCAAAAAAAACGACACAGGATGACATCCTTTTGTCATCGCTGTTTACTCATCCCGTAAACATCTAATTAATCTTCACGAGAAACATGCGAGTGCGCGCGCTGATGACAGTCGTGCCTTCTTATCGGGACAGCCTCAGAGAGCTCTGGTCGTGAATGACGCAGGTGAAAGCACCGCCGTCTTCGGCGACACTTCTCTGACACTTAAAATAACTCGAAAGTGCGACTTGGACATGAGTGAATGCAGAAGCTGTGCCGCTTGTTCTCATTTTTTTTTTAAAAAGTCTCACGTCTTTCACACCCTCTCTTATCCGTAGGCAGGATGATCTTTGCAGTGGATCTAGGCCAGCAGATGCGACACCCTCTCCTCTCCCCTTCTTCCCCACCGAGCCCCGTTCTCCGTTTCGTCTGCTTCGCGCTGCTGCCTCCACATCTGTCAGCGCTCTCTCTTCGCACAGGATTTGACCACACACCCTGTGTGATTTTGTAACAGCAAATATGTGTGTGTGTTTTAGACAGAGAGTCAAGAAGAGCGGCAAAATCTGTGTCCATCTTTGCGCAAACATGAGTGTGTTTATTGTACTTTATGTATGATATAGACAATCTGGAAGCGACCGGAGGACGAGACTTAGAAAAAAAAGAGGGGGCGAGGAGTTTGGCTTGAACCATGTGAGGGCGATGAGTGAGTGGTAACGCGATCTCCTTTTGGTCCTCCTCCTCATCAAAACAAACCCTGTGAGCAATGCCTCCTGGGTAAACGGTTTGCGAGCACTGAAGCTGTGACAAGCGCCATCTGTCACCTTAAAATCACATGCCACACACACACAGCCTGACACACATCTTTGCCCTGGCTGTTTCTGTGCAGTCATTAGAGAAGTCTCGTTCTTATTACCTCCATACATCTGACTTTGAATCCACACACATACTTTGCACAGTCTACCCAAGAAGCAGTGGCACATGTTGCCCTCATCACCTTGTTAGTCCTGAACATAAATTTCATCCAGCTTTCCCACAATCCCCAGGCCCTCGTCACACTGCCCGCAGTACAACTCCTAAACAAACAACGCCTGTCTTCTGCTCATTCATCATTTTTATGCACGCGTGCAAATGCAGACACGCACATTTTGTTGTGCCTCAACTTGCATTCTCTGTCGTTCCGACATTTCTTTTAAATGTTTTTTACATTTTTTTAAGGTTGTAGAAGTTTTTAAACAGCAGGCGCCTTTTTGTTAAAGCCTAACATGTGTTCCCGTGTGTGTGTGTGCTTCCAGCTCCAGCAGCAGAGGATGTGGATGTTTGCACAGATGCACAATATGATAATTAAACGGTGTATTAAATCTTACCGGTGACAGACTGTGCACTGCAAAAATGAGCACATCCTTCTCCGCCTTCTTTTCACTCAGCGGCTCTCTGTGTTTGAGTTTTCCCCTGCGTCTGCTTCACACTCCTCGCCTTCTGTCTTTCCTTCTTTCCTTGTATTTTTTTTTTAAACTTCTTCTCTCTTTAGTCGCCTTTGTTTTGTATATTTTACACTCGAAGGACATTTATCATGACGGGGCGAGTGATTACGCCATCTTTGGAGTAGGTGGCCTGGAATGAATCAAATTTAAGCGTCCTCCTTGCGTTCATTTATATAAAGGGAGAGACGTGCACGTTTGTTTCTGCGTGCGCTGTCTGCGGTAAAGTGTGCAATAAGGGAAGGCGACCTGCGATATCTCAAACCGCCTCTATGATCCTGCTCATTTTGCGATCCAAATATAAACCTGATAAAATTCCACGCAGAAGGGCCTGTGAGCATAGTGTGCAAAGAGTGTGCGCATGGAGTGTGTGTGTGTGTTTAGAGGTTAGAGAGTGTCTGGTTTCTTCCAGACCAGATGCATATGAAAAATAAACATTTAGTTTGGAATCTAAAATGCTTGCTAATGAGATCTGTCATTTTGCAAGTGGTGCAATCAAAGAATTACACTTTTTTTCCTCCAGGGTCTCCAAAGATAGAACATTTTAGCGTGAGAAATAGAGAAACTACAACATATTGCATTATTTTTCCTCCAGGATTTTTTCTTTCCTTTGGGAAAGTGCATGTTAGAAGATTGTCTTAACACAAAAACAGCTCAAAAGGATCCATAACAATGTTTAGTCAGGAAGAAAACATTTTTATTGTAGCTTTCTGTTCTGGAAACGGATACTTTTTAGCTTTAGGAGCTAGCTACTGTACCTTAGTCGCCTTTTTAAACTTCTACGACTCTTTGCAGGACCTGTCTGCTCATTATGTCCTGTTTTAACTGCCAGTGAAATGTTGGCTAAACCTGCTGTGACAAGTCAATGTGCTGTACTAGTAACGCTTAACACCCCCACCCCTCCCACCTTCATGATCTGATACTTAAGCTGGTTAAGGCAATGATAAATGTCAGATACGGTGTATAATCTGGATGTTTTTGCTTCCACTAAGTAAACTGGAACATGAATGAGAAAATGTAGACTGTCTCCAAACACATTCGATCATGTCATGTTGAGGAAATCCTCAAAAATCAAGCCCACAAACCGTTCTGCAAGACGTCATTGGTTGGTGTTTTACTTTGCATTGTGCCTGTCCACCCCTGGCTCAGAATGGACCTCGTGCATTAAGCATGATCCATATGTACAGCAAAGGCAGTGAGTCTGATAGTGCTGATTAGACAGAAATCTGTGCAATTTATATCTAATATAGTGACAGAACTGTGCAAACGTTTTGAGGGGTGGCTCAGGGAGAGGAAACAGGAGAGACGCGCAGTGATTTATTGAAACATGCAAACATACATGGAAACACAGTATATAAGGCAAAACTAGAGGTTGTACAATTCTAATGAGCTTGAAAGTCGATATTTGCTATGACCACCTTTATTTTCCAACGCAGCCTGAACTGTCTTTGGAAGCTTTCTCGTCATTTCTTCAACTAGACTTCAGGAATAGTTCTCCAGGTCTTTTAAAGGACCTTCAAAGCTCTGCTTTGGATTTTGGCTGCCTTTTGTTTTCTGTCAAAATGATCCAACACTGCTTCAATAATGCTGAGTTCTGGGGAGGCCGATCCATGACTGATAGTGTTTCATTGTGTTTTTTATATCAAGGCATGGTTTAACTGCATTGGCAGTGTGTTTGGGATCATTAAAATGAAGTTGTTGTAGATCAGATGTTTTCCAGATGATATTATATGGTAGATCAAATTCTGATGGTAGTTTTCTGTGTTCGTAACTTCAGTAGTTTTTAATAAGATCTCCATCCCCGCTGGCTAAAATAGTCTTCTTCGTGGCCTGTAAACACACACTGTTGTACTGTCCTGACCTGTGAATCACCTTGTTTGTTTAAAAATGCTATTTTGTGCCTGTCAAAGTGTGTTATTTTGTTATTTTTCAGAGATTCAAAGAAAGAAATTGGAACAAATGTGCAGACAGAACACTGGTTCATCCCTTGAGTTGGGTGTCTTTTTTTTATGGTTGAGTGATTCACAGGTCAGTGGTCAGTGTTAAGTGGCTTAAACAAACAAAAACGATTCCCAAGAAAATGATTAGGTTCAAGGACTGGACTGAAAGTGAGTGAAAAAGCAGCCAGTGTCCAAAGAAAAACATGGCAGGAGAGCTGTTGCTCAAGACCACTTCATAAAATTCCATCCGAGATCCTTGGAAGCAAAACGTAAAGAAATGAGGGAGTGACTCAAGATTTTTTCCACAGTGCTGTAATTAGTCACTTTTTTTCATCAGAAACAGACATTGTTGACTTTTTAAAATACAAATAAATGACTGTTGTGCTTTTTTTAAATAACAGTAATAAATTATTTTATTATAACATTAGAAGTAGGGAGAGGGGGTTTACTTCCTGTCCTCATGCTGTGATGAGCTGAGGGAAACGTTTTTGTCCAGTCTCCATCTCTCACACACACACTGCATGCGTACACGTGCCTACATGCAATCATATACTCTCATGCATGCATACACATGGTTTTCTCCCCTAAAAACAAGATGCAAAGACACAGCCAGACACACAAACACACACACAGCCAGACACACACGAGAGCCACCTTTTAGATTCAGAACTCAGACAACCTATAATCTCCTTTAATCCTTTCATTATGCTTTTGTTTTCCTTTCCCCCTGTTTGGGGAAAAAAAAGGTGAATGCAAACAGGAATTCCGGCATACAAAGAAAAACACACAGCCTCAGGCTGAGAAAACAAGAGCAGGGAATTTTTGGGGAGAGGAGGGACGCTTGTGTGCCGAGGGTACGCATGTGTGCATCGCTATTTGGCGAGAAGAAGAGAGGCGGCATTGTTCAGATGATTGCGTTACATGCATGTATATGTGAGCGTGTTATCTGCGTCGTCTCTAGCGCATGCTGATCAGTGGACAGAGGAGTCGTCTCTCTGTCAGTCACGGGATCCTCTGCGGTCAGACGGGTGCCAATAACCCGCTGCGAGGGCCCGAGCGGATTCTTACCGGCGCCAAACCTTCAAGTGTTTGCGCACTTTTGTGTCTAGAGTTTTTGTCTTGTGTAGCAGCTCGCCATGTATTCAGCTCTATTACTCATGTTTCCACAAACACTTCTTGTTATAGGTCATTTCATTTTACGTCATTCCTCGTTTATTACGGGAATAATCTGAATTCCACATGTAAAACTACCAAAACTGTCCCCAGGTAGAGCTAGCGAGCTGTTTGCTCCACTTGATGGATAAAACAGTCAAGCTCCATCTGTTTAACGCTGGAGTGGTTTTGATTGGCTTTCCGCTTTTCCGAGTCCACCTGGCAAAATCCTGAATGTAAAACAAGTCGCCACAAAGTCAGAGCTGCGACTCTGATTTGTCTTAGCCGTCTCTGTTTGTTGGATGGTTATGGATTCATTTCTCACCGGTTAATCAGCTTCTATTTGGAAGCTAAAGGCGCAGTTAACAATAGGATGTGTGCGTGTGGTGGCGAGCAGGAAGGCTTGTAGCACGTCTGCCTCTCCACATGGAATTCATTACATCCCGGTGGGATGTTTATTTTCTCTATTAATCCCTGTTCCTCTATTATCAGGAGCTCCATCAAAACTGCCCCAAACTACTGGCCTGCAGGCGAGCTGGCATTAACACAAACACATGTACACATACATGTGAATGATGCATTTAGCCCCGTCTCGACATTAGGTTACCTCATCTGTCTTTGTTACCTTTCCCCCTCTTGTTATGTGCCTCTCTCTCTCTTTCTCTCTCTCTTTAGTTGCTGCTTTGTGAGGAGAAGCTTTAGGATTTAATTACACGATGAAAATGCCTCCAGGACTTCATACCATCAGCATGTAGTGATGAAGTCTAGAGCAACTGTGAACTTTATATTGGCATTGTTAATTGTTTGGTGTACACAGAAGCAAATAGTTTCTCCAGATGAAAGCGAACTGCGCGACCAGCGCATGCAGCGTATGTCTTCAATTTACTGCCAGCGGTTTTGACCTTTCAACAAATTGGTCTCTGTGTTTTTTGATGTGTGCGATTTACATTTTTTTACTACTTTGCGAGGCCACAAAAACGTAAAAAACCTGGAAATGCGGTTGTTTGGAAGCTCTGCAGCAAGATCGCGTAACACCGAGTCTGATTTAGAGCTATTACTGGTTATGGCGCAGATAAAGATCCAAGATGTTTGGCGATTAGTAGTGAGTTCATGGTTACAGGGTAGCTGTGAGTTAGTTGCTGACTTTAATGGCAAACTCAGTCCTCCCTTCTGTGTGTTTGTCCTCTTGCAGGCTACTCGTGACACGCTGACAGCTCACTGCTCCTCCCTCGGCGAGTCTCTGAAGAAGGAAAACGAGCTGGCGTTGATCATCGATGGCCAGACATTGAAATACGCCCTGTCCTTTGAGCTCCGCCAGGCCTTCCTTGATTTGGCATTGTCCTGCAAAGCCGTCATCTGCTGCCGGTAGGGAAAGCTCATTTATCAAATGCATACACATATACACACAGGTATTATTGGTTATCTGCAATTACTCATAAATGCCTGAAGTAATTTACAAATAGAATCACAGGTTGAGCAGGTATTCATCTCTAAATGCAGCAGCCTGGGTTTGACTCCAGGCCTGTGTATCTTTCCCCAATCTCTCCCAGTCTCTGCTTCACTGCCCAATCTAACAAAGAGAAAAAGCCCAAAGAAATAATCAAAGAAATGGAAAGCGAAATGCCAGATTGTCTTTGTTTAAATCATAGAAAAAATGGGTTTCTCATAAAAAGGGCATGATCGCTGATAATCCTGTTGAAACGTGTGTTTCAACAGCGCTTTGTCCGTAACACTTTGGACAAAGTTTACAAATTACTCTGCAAAAAGACGTTTTTTTTTCTGTGAGGAAAACAATGACGCTCTGTACCAAACTGTTTTACAGATACACAACGTCATTGTGCTGCTGTGGGAAAGTCCCAGTGTGAGAATGAAAAATGAAAGCTTTTCCACAAACTTATATTTGCTTTAATGCAAAGTTTCTACCTGAAGTCTTTGATTTTCTTTATTTCAATACCTCTACTCAGCTGGGGTCAAATATGTAGACTATCCAAACACAAAGGCAGCAACAAAAGAAAAAAACTAAATATAAAGACAGGCTTCTACCTCATTATCTTTTCTACTTAGACACAACTAGTGTTGCATTGCCTAGTGTGGAAATGTGAATCAGTCTGAATGCATCTGGCCACAGCTGAACAGACAGAAAAATGTAAACACACTACAGCGTGCAGAGACGTCAATCGTCGTGCTGCAGCCGGCTGATATTAAACAGCTGTGATTGGCCTGGCCCGGCCCGGCCCGGCCTGGCACGGGCACGGTCGAGTGAAAATCTGTTTAAGCAGCCCAGACGCTTCGTGCCAGAGATGTTAAAACACGTGCTCGCAGATTTATTTGGTTCCCAGGGTCGATACCTGTGTGAACACAGCTGTTCCTCCTCAGGTGATTTCTGAGGCTGCGTGCTGTAAAGACACATTAATCTGTGACGTTTTAAATGCCCAAACAGCTCCTTTGAATTTGTGAACTTCATTAGAACAATCATCTGAAAGAAAAAAAATATACACAAGCACTTAAGAAAAAGATCCACTTCACACAGGCGGGTTTTTAAGTTGTGGATAAAGTGTCCATGTGGAGGACTTCATTACCTGCACATGTGCCAGTTTGCAAAGGTTACCGGTTGCCCACAGTCAGCAAATGAATGAGGACGATAAAAGCCTGTCCTGTTGCACAGCAGGGACGATGTAATACACTAGGCTGCTTGGAAATGTCAAAGTCATGACTCACTTACTGCCGGTACCCCTGGAATGGGCACCAACACACACACAGACACACACACACCTAGTCATGACCGTTATATATTTCCATTGATACAAAGTGTGGTCTGTTCAATGAATGTTTACAGCATGTTCCCTTTTTTGGGTATGTTTCACTCAGCAGCAGCTGTGATGTTTAAAAAAAAAAAAAAAAAGAGTTTCCACTCGTCTTTTTGTCTCTCTGCATGTGTGTGTGTGTGTGAGTGCAGACGTGCGTGCGCGTGTGAGCATGTGTTAGCCGGGAGGCACGTAATTGACTCTTCCTTGCACTTACAAGCCATATCCGGACTCAGGTCTCACAGGCCTTGCAAACAGCCTCAAGCTTCCTTTCCTGCATCCTTTACTTGCTATACCCTTGCCTCTCTCCCTGCATCTCTCTCTACCTTCCTCCCTCCCTCGTTCGGTTTCTCGACTCCTTCCTCCTCTGGCTAAGACATGTTAAACGTTAGCAGACTAGACTGAACAGCATCATAATTAGTTTAAGCACATCTGCTGAGCCCTTGTCTGGTTTTAAAACACATTTGAATAAGCAGGCCCTCTTTGAAAACAGCTGTACTGAAAATATATTATAATTTATCCAAAAACTGCAAAGAAATGACTGATTCTGATCAATATTTGGGTGTTGTTAGGTTTTTGTTTTTTTTAACAAAACAAAAAACATGGTAGGTTTGCCAACTGCTTTGGTGTAATAGTGTCTAATTTCAAGGTTCCTGGATATCACAAAAACAACATAGATTAGAAAACGTTCAAAGGCAAAAACGCAGCTCACTTTGTCCTGTTTTGTTGTCTTGTAATCTTACCATGACGCCATTTATCTTATGTCCCCCTGGGAGGTCCTATGCTGAGAACCAATACTCCTTTAATGAGTGGTTACGGTGAGGTTGCTGCACCGAGTGCCATAGCTTTGACGTTAAAGAGCCGGATTGTCAGTTAGTTGTTTCTCACCTACTGTATGTGTGCGATGTTTCACCACGCGGGAATGCCTGCGCGTCTCAGGGGCCCGAGGAGCCGAGCGCACTCATACGCTTGGGTTCCCGACTCCACTGCGCGCTTGTTTATAGGAGGACTCGGTGGCTGCTTATTTTCTGCTCAGTTCCACCGTGAAGAGCGCTGGGAGTCTTTCATCTCCCCCGACTTCACTTTACACAATCGCAGACACTGTTAGCGGTGTTTAGGGGAAAGGTAGAGTGAGACAGAGAGCGCGACGAGGAGAGATTTGCGGTTTGAGGCCAAGAGACGCAAAGGCGGACTTGTGTGCGCACACACACACACACACACACACACACACACACACACACACACTTCGGATGCAGAAACAGGAAAAAACAAAGAGCAGAGGTTGATCCCATCATTCAGCAGTAGCTCTCTTTGAGGTTTCCCCCCTCAAATGTCCTGTGGTGCAGGGTGTGAGGCGTGTGTGTGCGCTGGTCTGATTTTTGCTTCATAAGCATGCCAAGCAGACCTCCCGGTTCTGTGATTCCAGCTCGACTGGGACATGCTCTTTACATATTCACAGAGGACAGACCGTCTTTATGACCTGCAGACCTCAGCCGGATGCGTGCATGCACGCGCACGTAATTTCATTTTCCCATACCCTTATAAAAGCATCATATTTTGCTCTGCTTCCATGTGATGGCTCATACAGCTGCACATAACTTCATTTTTCTAATATGATTACTGCAGCACTGATGAATGAGGTGGTGAGTCACTGCTTGTGCTGAGCTCCCAGGAGTTAGGCCTGTTCGTACCATACAAACAGTCATTGTGAGGGTGACTCCTCCTCTTTCTAGGAAAAGTATTGGGCACACTTTTAAGTCCAGTGTTGATTCTCAAATTCCCATCACCTAATGCATCACAGAGGCTCAGGTAATAACTATAATCAGTGAAATGTAATATAAATATTTAATAACTGGATTTGGACTAATCTCTTGTAATGCAGCCAGTAGCTACTTTCTGCTGCCTGATAACTCTCAAAGCCACTTTTTAACTCCAAGTGAGGATGATTTATTGGATGAATCTGTACTTAAAAAGTGCCACATTTTTTCTAAAAAACACAAACATCCTGTCTTAAGATGCTGTACGATGTTTTTGTTTCATACTGTACTGTAGGGAGTGGCTTTAATCCCAGCCCCAGTATCACTTTTCTCCCACGTCTCGTCCTTTGGAGACATATTTGCTTTCACCGTACGACATGCAGGTAGTAATGACAAGACTCGTGTAAGCAGCGTGCATGTGAACGGCACGCAGTGGGAATGCCTCCTCATACGAAGCAGGTTTTGCAAACAGAAGACAAATTCAGTCTTAGCTGCTGTGTCCAGAATGCAAGCACTGAAAATGTAAACAGTGTGTGTGTGGGGCTGGATTGCTTTCCCACACAATCTCCGTCTAAGCTCGCCAGCCATGAGGCACGCTCTGTCCCTCGTTACACCGTCTTGCTAGTATTGAATTCTTTAAATGGCCCAGAAAAAAGAAACTCCTCTTACATATCTAAATGCATAATTCACCACGTGTATTAAGTCCTGGCATAACCAGTACCCCACCAGAAACGAAGGAATATCGTATTTCTCTGACTTTAAACAGGAAAACTGCATCAGAACAGCAGCTGAATATATTTATAAAACTGAACTCTTACTTGTGTTTTTCTTAGAATATCCCCCTTTAAATTAGCTAAAGATAATAATTTCCTCTAAACATTCTAATAATCACGTTCTAATAGAAATCTTTAGGCTTATTATACAGCATCCATCATTCACCCTCATCACCACTTTTTTTCCACATTTAAGTGCTTTTTCTATCTGACATTCGCACACATTCATACTACACATAACATAAATACTTTATTGACCCCTGCAAGGGTAATTACTCTGCTACAGCAGCAGGTTAAAGAGTAACAGTAGTCTACAATAAAAAACCGACACAGTTAAAGTAAAAGTGACACAGGCGGATAGTAAGAGCCTGAAACTGAGAGAAATACAACATTTGATATGTAGAACGGTGATTAAATTTATTTTATTAAAATAAAATGATGTTAAGTTAAAGTAAAAAAAAGAAGAGTGAGACTGTAAAAGAGAGTAGTGCAAATTGCAGTAATAAATAATATGTGCGCTATAAATCTGAGAAACAGCTGCAAGAAGGTTTAATACAGAAATATATGTGTGTGGAATCGAATGCCCGACAAGTGTGCTCACCTGTCACAGAAAGAGGAGTTATTGTACAGTTTCACAGAACTGCAGGAATGATTTCCTGAGGCGTTGTTTCGGCAGCTGTGCTGAATAAAGTCTGAGGGAGAAGGAGCTCTGCTGCCTGGAGCGGGTGAGGTAGACTGTCCATGATGGAGAGCAGTTTGTTCAGCGACCTCCTGTCCGTCACTCACTCAAAGGCCTCCTGATTCTAGAAACTGATGTTCCCAGCCTTGTGAATGAATTTGTTGATCCTGCTGGCACCGATGCTACCGCAGACTGGTAGAAGATCTCCCAACATCTTTCTTCACACATTAATAGATCTGAGCTTTGTCAGTATCCTCATCTTCTTCAGCGGGTTAAATTCACATGCTAGTTTGTGCTTTCTGATTTAAAGCGTTCACAGTTTCTTTCACTGGTAGGGAAAACAAATGATTACTAGGGGTAAAAACAAAACAAAAAAAAAACCCCATCAGATCCCAAAGTTTTTTATTAAAGCCAAACAGAAATCCAGCACAACAGAAGGAAAATTAGCCACGGCCCTGGATGGGGCTTCTTCTTATTTGTCTGCAGATGAATTACACGGCACCATAAAATTTGACAAAATATACCCATCTCTTTAGCAAATGCAGCATGACACTTATCCACTCTCTGTGGCCCTGAGGGAGGCGTCTGTAATCGGATCTCTGCACGTCTCCATTGTCACTGAGGAGACAGAACCGGTTGTAGACTGAGGATCAGTGATACAGGTCAAGAGGGTGGAGTACTGCTGGAAGCTCCCTGCACACACACACACGCACACACACCTGCACACACACACTTTAGAGCACTTTGCAGTGCTGTGTTTACTGCACTTTAACAGGTATTAGGAAACAATGATTCACTGTGGTGCTAATAAGATGTGGGGTAACTTGCTTTTGATCTGTTTATACAAATGTGCACTTACGTGTGTGTGTGTGTGTGTGTGTGTGTTTCAGCCTCTCATCCATCTCTTTCTTCTTCCCTTCCAACTGTTTCCCAACCTGTGCTTCCCAGGCTTTATTCTTCTTACGCAGTGGCTCGCTTCTTTGCTTTCTCCTCAAAACACACTTTAATCTTTCCATCGCCCTGCCTCCAGTTTCCTCCAACACATTTAATATCGCCTCTTTTTTTTTCTTGTTGCGTCTGCAGGGTGTCTCCGCTGCAGAAGTCTGAGATCGTGGATATGGTGAAGAAACACGTGAAAGCCATCACGCTGGCGATCGGCGACGGTGCGAACGACGTGGGGATGATTCAGACGGCTCACGTTGGAGTGGGGATCAGCGGCAACGAGGGCATGCAGGCCACCAACTCCTCCGACTACTCCATCGCACAGGTGGGTACAAACGTAGCGCGGAGACAAACAGACGTGCACGGTTAGGTTCTTATGAAAATGTTTACAGGCTTTACTCGAACACAGATAAGGAAGGGACGCTCGTTCGGCTTGAAACCCCTGCAAAGGGACAGGCACTGACTGCTGACCCGCTCACCGTTCAGGTCGTGTTGATCTTTAACCTTCCCTCAGGGGACAGCTGACTTACACGGATCTGTGTAGGATCATGTTATCGATCCGAACGCTGCTCATCACAAACATCTGCGTCCTAAAATAAAACCTAGTCAAACTATGAGCTGAAATTCCTCTTTTTTTCTGTTTTTGATGCTTTTTCATCTCAGAGAAGGTTTCATTGTCCACTTGTATGCACATTGTTTAGCCCCGTAAAGTTTTATTTGTATCATATTTGCTACATACAACATTTTATTTATTTATTGTGCAATTCATGTAAGTTTTTCATGGAGGAAAAAAAATCACTGTTGATGTCGCAGTCTTAAAACCTTACAAAAACTCTAAAGGAATGCTAGAGGAAGGCATAATTATCTGTTATTATACTTTTAATTATTTGCTTAAAATTGTCAAGAAGGAGTTGAAGCTATGGAGGGTAGTTCAGTTTTAAGGGATTGTGAAAATAGCTCTCATGGTCGGTGTGATTGCTCTAAAAGTTGCACTTATATTCATTTGAAATTGGACCCTTTTGTGTTGATATTTTGTAGCGTATGATCTGGATCTGGTTCTGTTCACCCACTCGTACTTTACTGCGATTGTTTATGCCAGCAGCTGTTACAATAAGTGCCACCCTCCTGGCTAAGAGAGAGCTTTAATCTCAGTGAGACTTTAACCTGCATAAATTCAGGCTTTCCTAGATATAATTCCCCAAATCTCTCTTTTGTGTAAATAAAACCTGAGTTATGTGTATCCATTGTTCCCTTTGAAGGATGAAAAAAATCTCTCTCTGTGTCCTAGTTACTCTGGAGTCTTCTTTGTATCTGTATCTCTCACACAGACACATTCTGCCACTTTCACTGTCTGCGTTGCCTGTCTCTTTGCTTATCTTTATCAGCAGGCCTCCTCTTGCCTCAGCTTTCCCTTCTCCCGGTCGCATTCTTGATACATACCCTGTGCTCCATTACTGCCTCAAGTTTTTGCTTTCCAGCCTTTTGTTTTCCCTCCGAGTGATTGACCAAGTGTCTGTCTTTGTCTCCTCTCTGATTCGGTAGTTCTCCTACTTGGAGAAGCTTCTGCTGGTCCACGGGGCGTGGAGCTATAACCGCGTCACAAAGTGCATCCTCTACTGTTTCTACAAGAATGTGGTCCTCTACATAATAGAGGTAAGAGCGTCGCCACCACACCCTGTCTCTTTTACGCACACACAGTTACATTAACAGAGACATTTTGCAGCTGTTTGTCGACACGGCTGACAGTGATGGACGAGGTGCCCTTCTGGTGTCTGCTTTCTATCCTGCTTGCATTTGCGAACACACACAAACACACACAAACACACACACTTAAAAAACTGTGTAGCACTGACGAGACCTTGGCTCCAAAGGTCGACTGTTGTCTCTCTGTGTGTGTACTTGTATTGCTCATGAAGTTGGGACACGTATCTATTTACACAGTCACATAGCTGGGGCCTCAGGGCCTTTTGAGGACAGAAAATCCTAATAAATCATTAAATTTCACAAGGAAGACTTGGTTTAAGGGTTGAAAGGTGTAGTTGTTGTTATAGTAAAAGTCTTAAGGAAATGAACTTAAATCAGTTTGTTGTCATCAGAAGTGAAACATGACTGCGTTTGCGTGTGAGTGATGAAGGGGCTGCTATGAGGGGTATTTGACAGCTGTGCTCTCTCCAACCCCTCTTACCCCTCTGTCTGACATTAAGGATGCCAGCAGGTGCAGGTCCTCATGTAGCCCACGGTCCCACTCACACCACCACTCTGTGTGTGCGTTTGTGTGTTTCCACAATTATCTCACATAGCTGGCTTCCAGCAGAGCTCTTTAGGCCAAAGGTTATAGACTGTCTCTGTCCACTTAGTGGAGACAGCAGAGGGGGATGGTGCGCACATGCGTGTGCGTGTGTGTGTGTGTGTGTGTGTGTGTGTGTGTGTGTGTGTGTGTGTGTGTGTGTGTGTGTGTGTATAAGAGAGAGGTTTTTGTGTATCAGGCCTCACCCTTAGGCTGTATTCTCCACTGTATGCCCCAGGAATGCCACAACTCCCACCAGCGGCCCCAAACATTTTCTTTATCTGTCCACAGATCTGCCTGTGTCTGCTGTCGGTGTGTGTGTGTGTGTGTGTGTGTGTGTGTGTGTGTATTAAAGAGCTAATGAGGGTTTACCCGAGGCGCATTCAGTTACAGTGTTTCGGTGAATTAGCTGAAATTGATTTTGAGGTCCAGACAAAACCGGCATTAAGAGGGGGTTTTAATGCTTGTTAGCGGCAAAGCAAGTTTAACTGTTGTACGAGGATTTTTATTATATACATATAAAAACATACTGTTGCCATCTGAATAATTAAGTCTTTAAAAAGGACGTTTTTCTAACACCACTACCTCATTTTGTCATTTTCCCCCTGCTGCTTTCACTGTGAGGACCTCCCTAAGGCAGTTTTACCCTTCACTATTGTTCCTCTCATCCCTCTCTTTGTGTCCCAGCTCTGGTTTGCCTTTGTGAACGGGTTCTCTGGCCAGATCCTCTTTGAACGCTGGTGCATAGGCCTCTACAACGTGGTGAGTATCCACCCTTCACTATCTGACAATTTTCCATTACCCCACTCACCCTCCTTCGCTGTTACACTTTCCACTTGCTGGATATCGATTGTTATCTTTCACTCTATCTCTCAGTATGAGTAGCACTCTGCTTTGTCTTCTCCTCACAGCTCTTTTGGTTTGAAAGTGTATGCATGTGTTCTGGTGACTGCGAATTGCTTCAGGGGAAATGCAGAGCACTTTTACTTACAAAGCAGGTGTTGTGTGCAGAGGTGAAGCCGTTTTGATGCTCATAGTCTGATATAAATAAAGAACATGTGCAGGCACTGTATTTGTCATTAAGCGTTTTAAAGGCTGCGCATGTGTGACCTCTGTGTGCTGCAGATATTTACCGCTCTGCCTCCGTTCACTCTGGGGATATTTGACCGGCCGTGCAGCCAGCAGAACATGCTCCGCTTCCCGCAGCTCTACCGAATAACCCAGAATGCCGAGGGCTTCAACACCAAAGTACGTGCGCAGATGTTCGCAGACACACACGCACATTTAGATCTGTCCTTTTGGCTTCAGGATTCGATGAGTGATGCCAGCTGTTTGTTTGGGACTTTGGCAAGTAAACAAGGGGGGGGGCTATGGAGTCTGGGATGTTTCCATTGCAAACCATAATGAGATTCATAATGCGAGAATAAGGAAGTCTTTCATTTTACAGGGTACACCAGCAGCTTAACCTACTCTGTGTGCGTGTGTGTGTGTACCAGAGCTCACTTTTGATGGCACTAGAACAGTGGGAGTTGTGTGCTCTTGTGAGGAATTGCTGTTTTTGTATGTTTTTGTGTGTTTAGAAGTTTAGGGGGATGGAGCATTTATGTGTTTTGGCATTAATTTATACTGACTTGTTTTCCACTGTCCCTCTCCTCCACCTCCACCTCCTCTCTTTCTGTGTCCTTCTCCTTCTTTCAGGTGTTCTGGGGACACTGCATCAATGCACTGATTCATTCAATTATTCTCTTTTGGTTTCCACTCAAAATGTTAGAGCACGGTAAGTAAGCCTGCCCAGATCATCCTTCTGCAAGCAATGAGTTTGGTTTGCTGACACTCGCATGCTCTCCGCAGACTCTCCCTTCAGTAACGGTCAGGGAAACGACTACCTGTTTGCAGGAAACATGGTCTACACAGTAAGTGTCGTACTGGAAATTTATACGTGTCTGCTTTTGTTTTGATTTCTGCTTTTTGGCGCAGATTTGTGCTTTTTTTTTCACCTGCACAGTGTTTGTGTACACAGCACAGTGTTGCTGCTTCCTCAGAGCCCTTATGAGTCTCCAGTCAATCTAGTCCCGTCTAGCCAGCCTGACTCCCCCTGACATTCGTCCGTCTATTTTCTCTTTTCGCTTCGGCGTCACACACTCTCTATCATTTTACTCCCTTGGAGTCTCATGTGGATGTCGGTGGTGTTTATTTGTTGTGTGTGTGTGTGTGGACTGCGAGGGATTGTGGGACTCCAGAGTATTTTAACAGACATTGCTGAGTTTACTGTATAACATTATTGTTTATTATCTCCACAGTCGCCAGTCAACTAATCCTGTTTCTGTTTTTTTTATTTGCCCACCCGCTTCTCTGTGCGTGTGTGTGTGTGTGTGTGCGTGCAGTATGTGGTCGTTACAGTGTGTCTGAAAGCTGGAATGGAGACCACAGCTTGGACCAGGGTAGGAGCATTAACACACTCTTAATACACCACACAACATGTGCTGTATTTTACTCCAGTGTTGACAAATAAAGGGGAGGGTTGGGGTAGGGTGGGGTACTCTGTGAGCCTTTCAGTGTAAGTTTTCCATACGACCTGGTCTAAATGCTTCATAGTCAGTAAAAGCATGGCAGAAGATGTGGTCTACCTTGATGTTGTGGTGGAGGTTTCTCAAACTGCAGTTGCTTGCACCTTTTCTTCCAACTAGTTCCTCTGCAGCTTTTTCCTTTACTCGGTTTTTCAGATGTAGCCGTTTAAAAAAAACAAACAAAAAGGTCTGGAAAGTGCCAGATCTTGACAAAGAAATCACTACTAAGCATTCAACTCAAGCAGAGATACTTAACTGCGGAGCAGCTGCAAGAACAGCCAAATGTGCTTGAAGACGTTCAGCTTGTAAGCAACAAATGGAGCTCAGGCCGTGCATAGTGAGGCGTACAGATATTAAAAAGTTCATCAGAAATCTGATACATGATGCATACCTGAAAGATGCATTATGCCTTTCAGTTGATCCGTCTACTGAAGCCTCATCAGAAGCGGTCTCAGTGGAAGCGTGGCTGTCGAGCAATTCTTAGCTGGAATACCAATGAAATACGGCAGTGATGATGCAAAACAAAGTAAGGTCTTGCCATTCGTGAGACATTAACTGATTTACTTCACAGGTCACTGACAGGCAGGATGGTGAAAGGGACTGATAATAGTCGTGTTAACGTGATTTAAAAAAATAATCCTGCTGTTGATCGTCAAAATATACCAGCTGTCATAAGAAAATGCAGCAGCTCGTGACATTACACAACAGTATTCTACACAGGCAAAACTTGGAGAAGACTGTTCCTGAACTCTGCCTTAGTAAATAGACATAAAACAAAGGAAAGAAACAAGTGGGCTTAAAGAGGGGAAATTCTGAAAAAAGACATAGAGAAAGCTGAGCATGTGGCTTCAACTTTCAGTTCTAAAATAACAGAAGCCAAAGTGGAGATGGAGTTTAGGATAACAGCAGCTCCAGCCATGACAGCCACATCGTTTGCTTTCTTTTTTTCCTCGTTTTCCTGTGGTTGGAGAGGAAGGAGAGACTGACAGGATGGACAGAAAGGGACTGACACCTCTGTCCATTCAGCTGTCCGCACAACAGTGTGGCGGTAATGAAGCCCGGGTCCCACTGGAATTCACACAGAGTCCCCTTACAGTGGATCACACACAGGGAAAGGAGGGAGGGGAAGGTTGTCTATATTGGGATGAGCTGTATATAAAGCATTTGACCTCATGCTGTCTCTCTTTTCTCTCTCTTAATCTCTCCTTAACTCCCTCTCGCCGTCCTTCTTTCTTCTCTCTATCTCCCCGTCTCTCTATTGTAGTTCTCCCACCTGGCGGTATGGGGAAGCATGGTGCTCTGGATCGTCTTCTTCGGTGTCTACTCCGCCATCTGGCCCACCATCCCTATTGCTCCTGACATGCTGGGCCAGGCAAGTCTCTCGCCATAAACACGCGTCATTCATTTTTATAACAAGGTGCAATGGTGGAGGTTAGAAAAAGGCCCTTCCTACTACATCTCTTCTCTGCAAAATCACCTGCCCCTCCCTTCCGTTTTGGTTGCTGTTACATGGCGCCTAAAAGACTCACCTCTTGGGTGTTCCACGGCGACACTGCTGGAGCCCCCCTGGCTTCCCACACCTGCTGCATGTCACCCGAGCTCCAGTCTTTTACTGCCCTCTGTGGAGGTGTTGACTCAACAGGGTGGGCTGCTGCCGCTGCTGGTGGTGGTGATGAGGGTCCAGTGGGGGGTGATGTGATGTGTGGGACCCCTTAATTAAGAGACTCATTTTAGAGTCTGGGCATGAAGGCATGGGTGAGATGAGGTGCCCCGCTGAGTGGCAGGGGAAGGGAATAGAGACTTCCCAACTCCCCGCAGCCCATTAATTCAATTTGTGTCAGAAATCAGGAATGCGGTCAAATATCTCTGCAGCTGCTCAGCCTAACTGGGGAATGGTCAAAGACAGCCCCCCCACCCAACTGCACTATTGCCTCTCTTATTTCCCTCGCTCGCTCTATCTATATTTCGATCTGTCCATGTGGGACACAGGATGAGAAAAAGAGTTGTGTACGTCTGCTCAGAATAGCTACGTGTGACATGTGTGTCCAGATCCATGTAGCGGCTCAGACCAACAGTCTGTTTCTATGGATATAACAAAGCAGAGAAATTCATGTTTTCATGCCTGCATCCTCGCCGTCCACAGAGATTATGTGATATACTGTGAGTCTTTGTGTGGAGGCATTTGTCACAGACAGAAACGCTGATTATGTGTGAGTCCATTTGGATCGTCCGTGCCTTGGTTGGGATTCCAGCTGCTCTCTGATTCATTTTCCCAGTTTATCATCTTTCTGTGGGAACCTTACAAATGCAAAAACAAGACGCGGGAAACATGTGATACGGGCAATAAAGTATTCAAAGCTAAAGAGGACACGGTGCATGCGATTTTGACACCTAGAGACAAAGACGTGCAAAGCAAAACACAAGCTCGTGCAGTGAGATAACCGAAGCGGAGAGAAACTGCAGGGATTTACCAAAACGAGTGAGGACAGGCAACAAACGATGCAGTCACTAATAATGAAAGGAAGTTGTGAAAGAGTGAGATTGGAGGGAATCAGAGGAGTAAGAGTTGTGTGGGAGTAAGTATCAGAGAGACATACAGGCTGACAAATGGAGACAGTAGTCAGATGCGTGATTAATCCTGGGAGACAGAGTAAGAAGGGAGGCAAAGGTCACTTAGGGTGGACTGGATAGACAGGTAGTGGGTGGAGGGGTGGGACGCCAGCATCTCTGCCACGTTCACACAGCTTCTGTGATGTTGTTTGAGTTGTAGTTAAAAGCGGTGAGAAAGCTGTTAAATATTTCTGCCTAACATTCGAGATGTTCAACTTTGGCTAACTCCCTTTATGCTCTTTATGACTTTTGAGTCACATTTCCTCCAGCCGTTACCGTATGCGTCCTTCCCCCCTCTCCTCCACCTCCACCCGTGTGCTCGCTGCTGAGAAAAATGACTTAATGCTCAACGTGGATTCATATATGAGTGGAAATTAATGGGCCCTGTGTGTTGTCACCTCAGGCTGGCAAGGTGATGCAGTGCTGGCACTTCTGGCTGGGCCTGGTCTTGGTGCCTGCTGCGTGTTTACTCAAAGACTTCGCTTGGACGGCGTAAGTAGTATCCGTTTAATATAAATACTTGGGGAATCCATACAGACGTTATTCAACTTAACTGAAGCGTTTACATAACCTGTACTGAGCACTTCTTACAATGAATTACACGTGTCTACGAGGTGAAACGCTCAGTTTCCTTCATTGGGCTGATGAGCTTTTTTTCTGCCGTGCAGCGCACGCCGCTCTGTGAGGAAGTCTCTTCTTGAGGAGGTGCAGGAGCTGGAGGCGCGGTCCGTTGACCCAGGCGCAGCTGTCCTTAGAGATGCCAGCAGCCGCAGGTATTGAAACGCTACAAAGCATCTTGGGATATCACATCACACATATACATCTTTTTATCATCAAGTAGATTTTTCAAAAATTTAATATGTCCTGTACTACCATGTCCCAAATGTCTGCAGTTTTAATAACGGCCTGCTAGTATCTTTATTATATTTTTTATGTGTGAAAATAAACTATTTCTGTCCCCCCTGTGGCAACGTCCACAGGGCTGAGGCCAAGGCTGAGGTCCCGTAGAGCCAGAACTGCTCACAGAGGTAGTTTCTGGGTTTGCACTGTCCCACTGTGTGACCTGTGACCTCAAATGACCTGTGTGCCCCATTGCAAGCTGCTTTGGAGTGACTCCTGCTTGTTTTCCATTAACCAAGTTCACATCTCCCTCTCTTTGTATCTTTTAATGTTGTATTGTTCTCACGTTTTTTTCCTCTCCTTATTTCTTTAAATGCGATCGTTCTTTTTCTTCATAGGTGGACCAATTTAAACTGCTGTACTGATCTGGTGTGTTTAATGTTTGCCTGTAGCTTCAAAGGCTGTGACTTAGTGTTGTGCTCAGTATTGCATTAGAATAAAGATCTTTGGCTAATTTTGAGGGAAATTGTGCAAATTATAGATTCAGTACACGACCACTTTTCCAAAATCACTGGGATGCTGGTTAAAATGTAAATGAACTAACAAAAAGCAGGGAGTTGAAAATCATTTAAAGTCTGTATTTCACTGGAAACTGTAAAAATAACATCGAAACAGAGACATTTAAATATATTTGAATTTGATGCCAACAAAATGATTTATAAAAGTTTCAACATGAACAGTTTTCCATCACCTGACAGCATATATTGCTTCAAATGTTGCACACGTCATCCAGCATCACTGGGGGCTAAGCTACTAAGTTACCCAATCCATGTGCCTAATGCACCCTAATACCAACGTGAATGTTGATGTCCATGACTTCCAAAAAGAATTTAAGGTTTTGATTGGGCAAACCCAATGACAGCTTTCAACATCACTCAATTTAATCATGTTTATTTGTGTTTTATGGGTGACGGGGGGGTTGCATGTGGGGATGTAGTGACAAACTGTGCTCACCAATGACGGCTAAGAGGCCAAAGATCTCAGCCATTTAGATTTGGTTGCCAGTCTTGGATTGTCTAAATTATGAATGTTTTTTTTTGCACTGCACATGATTTCAATCCCCAACTTGAAGCTTTATTCTTACCTGTATGGACAAAAGTATTGGGCCAAACCTCTTAATCTTTAAATTTAGGTGTTTTCAGTCTAGCTGGATAAAATCAAACACCTCACCATGCAGGTTTGTTGTATTGGTTTCTTGAGCTTTTTCCTCCGACGCCCCTTTCATCCATTCTGGAGGTGCAGAGATTTTGAACCAAGAAGTAATTTTTTCCAGAAATGTCTGTGGTATTATTGCAAAGTGCAAGTGTTAAACTACAAGACTACAGAAAGTTACAGAGCATGGTTGCTGACTCCTGAGGTGCGTAAAAGTTGCCAACGCTCTGCTGACTCAATAACTGCCCTAAAAACCTCCTCTGGCTTTAACATCAGCACCAAAGCTGTGTGCTGGGAGCTTCATGGCATGGGCAGCTCGTGTAAGTGTCCCGGTACTTTTGTCCATGTAACGGTGTCTGTCCAATTAACCCTAGTCAGCTGTGAGATGTTCCCCTAACTGTAGGTGTTATTTTTAGCAAGTCCACAACTTTAACAGTCTAATGTTGCCCTTGTCTCATCTTTGTTGGAGTGTTATGCTGGAGACAATTTAGAAACAACCTTATATTTGTCCAAAAAAACCCCCCCAATATTTCTCCGTTCTAAGATATGGTATGTTGATTTTTTTTTATTAATTTGAAATAAATCAAACATAGTTCATATAATTACATTTGATACAGCATCCAAAGTATTTTGGAAAACCTAGTTTGTAGACGTTTAGTGATTTACTAGCTGTGGCACAAAGAGATTCAGGAAATTTCCATTTTGCTACTTTAGTTTAATGCCCCCAAACATCTCTGTAAGACACATCTGACTATATCTCCATATTTATTATTTGACGGCTATACTGTGGCTGCTAGCTTTTATTGTAAAAACTCACTATAAGCTTATAACATACAGTGCGGTGTTAGATGATAAAGAACAATACCAAGAGCAACACAAGTATTCTACTTTTACTTCATATTTGACAACTTAAATTAGAAGTTAAGTTTGCATAACGTATACTCACATGAGGAGTGTGAATACTTATCTCCCTGTGTTACAGTGAGTTCCACAGTTTTCTCATCTTATGAGGAGGTTGAGTTAAAGGTTTCACCAAGAGAAAGTACATTAGAGGTGGTTCTTGTTTCTTGAAGTGAGCAGAAGAAGTCTAAGGGGGGGGGGGTGTAAAACCACATTGCTCCTCTTGACCCTTAAACAGGGCTCCGTCCTTGACTGACCCTGCTTTTAAACGCCGGGAGGCAGGAACACATCCTTGAGTGCTTTCCATTCAGAATAAGAGAAGGAACGTAAGGGTGAGCTGAGAAGCAATGGAGCAAAATGGAAAAGAGCACATCTGTGTTTGTAGTTTTTGGGGAGGGTAGGCATGGGAAAAGGTGGAAAGGTACAGTACGGGAGTGTCTCGGGGGGAAGAGTTCAAATAGCGTACAGCCTCGGGCCCTTTTGAATCAGAAAGTATCCACAGAGAAACTTCACGACAGAAGCGAGGACAGCTTAAGTCATACTGATGCACGAGCCGTTCATTTATTTGTCCAGCCACTGTTTAGTAATTTTATCGACCTCACAGTGCCGTCATCCTTGTAACAGACATTATTTTAACAGACATAACAGAAAGTCTTTGAGCAGGCTCGAGAGCTCTCTTTTTTTCACACCAGTGAAAGATTCCCAGCGGTCTTAGACAGTTATGAAAATTTCCTAACCGCTTGTTCCAAATGTTAGCCTTGGGAAGGCTGGGTCGACTCCATAATTACTCCACTGATCATCATCACCTCTGTGTACTCTAAGTGCAGGGAAAACCCTTGTGTGTGAATTTAATGCTCCACTGGCAGATAACTGCACAAAACGTATTCCTTCAAATAAATATGGCAGAAGTTAACTTCCCGAGGCGCCCCTTACGTTTACATTCGACGTCTGCACTTTATTGGCTGTAATAATGGCGATGACACGGGAGACAAATGTATGAATATATGTGTGTATGTATGCATTCGAGCCGGCCTGTGTTAGTGCGCAGTATCTGGAATGGGCTTGGTTATTTTTGGTCACCGGAGGAGAGGAGCCGTGACGGCGTGTGGTCTCAGAACAGAGGGTCCAGTCTTCTTCTTGGAATGGGGGGGAGAGTGGAGTGGAGTGGAGTGGAGTGGGGATGAGGAACAGTTTACTGTGGATGTCCTGTTACCCTGCAGGCAGTTTATGACTTACTGTTAAAGTGAATGTGAAAAGCAGTCGCTGTCTAATCCACCTCTAACAAACTTTCTGGTCCTAAATCTGCTGAGATTTTGTTTACTTATTGATCTGTGTGTTTCTATGTTACATCTAAACAAGTGCTTTGCTTTTCTGTTATGCTGCAGTGTTTTACTGAAGAGCAGCTAAGATTAAAATTCATAGTCATAGAAAAATTAGAGGCAAAGATCCTGAAAGTCTGTAGACTGGTTGTTAGTAAGGGTGTTATGTAGTTGTGGGAGTAGCAGAGATTCTCTCATTTGTATAATTATGTGTTATTATAGTGATTATGTTGTGCTGCTTTGGAGTAAATGTTCTTCCTTACCTTTCCCTCTTTTTATCTTGCAGTCTAAACGAACGGGCCCATCTGCTGACAAGAGTCTTTAGGAAAACACCTTCAAGTGTAGGACGCTCAAACTCTGTGCAGCAGACTGTGTCACGTGAGTGCTCTTTCCAATAAGAGATGCTATCATGTAAACCAAGTCTTGCTTTAATGCTCCAGTCACAGTAAGGCGAACGGTGGCTGGAGGCCAAAGTTATTGCGACTGTGCGCAACTGATTTGTGATCTTGTTGACTTTTGAAATGGTTCAAAGACAAAACAACCAGCTGCTGTCTTCAAAGCAACTTCAGTGCATCAAAATGGTGATAAAACACCAGTAAGACAGAGTCAGTCTGCTATCAGTTTACTGTTGATTGGGATCAAGGTGGCAATTATGTGCAACCTGTTTGCGATAATCCAGCAATTAACTGTGATAAAGAGCAAAAATTGCAAATCTGTTGCAAATCCTTGGCAAGGAAAGCTTTGTAATGGCTTAACGATTAAGTACTCACAAGATTAAGTACCAGCAAGAACCTCATAGATATAAAGCAGAAATTCCTCCAAAAATAGTGACAGAGTTGCTGCAGGATGCCTAAGTGCCATAACCCCTCAGCTACTTTTATATGCATTTATATATGCAAATAACCAGAAAACAAACAGCTAAGTTCCCTGTTGCAAACGAGTTGTGCTTATCAGTGCAAACAGCGATTGATTGCAACGTGTTGGCAACCTGTGTCTGTTTATTAATTAGATGGCAAATTAGATCGTGGTCAGTCTGAGTTGGTCTGCAATTGTTTGAAGACAGGTTTCCCGTACGATCACTGCAGCTCAGCAGTTAGAGCAGGTCATTCACTAATTCAAAGGTTGGATGCTTGGTCCTGTTGCTCCTGTTTGCATGCCAAAGATACTGAACAGAGTTGCTCTCTAATGTATGTGTTGGAGTTTGAATAGAAGATCACAGTGCTTGTGTAAATGGCTGAATGAATGTTGTATAAAGCACTGTGAGTGCTCCAGCAGAGTAGAAAAGTGCTATGTAACATACGTATTTGCACTGCAATCAAAAGTGGTAGCCCAGAGGGTGATGCATGCTCAGCCTCTGGGCTACCAGTTTATCACCAGCACTACTTGAGGTTGTTTTTAAATGCAAAAAAAAATCACAGGAAAAAAATCTCAATTTTTCCTAGTTGCAAGGAGTTTATGTGACTGAGCCATAAGACTGATAGAAGCCAACAGTCTCACTGTGTCATCTCTGTGTTCACAGTTTTGTTGTCACTCAGCACACAGGCTTAACAAGTAAGACTTCTCCTCTGTCTCTCTGCAGATGGCTATGCCTTCTCTCAGGAGGAGCATGGTGTGGTGTCTCAATCCCAGGTAGTGCGCTCTTATGACACCACCCGCCAGCGCCCCAGCCTCTAGCCCCATCCCGGATCAAAGCTTTGGCTCACTGAAGCAAGAATTTGTCAAGGTGACAGCGGAGATAGACTTAAGTGACACCCTCACGCCGGGTGACCGACCCCTGCTGTGGCCTTACTGGACAGTGACCTGACCCCTTGCCGGGGACGGAAGTCATGGTCAGGCATGGAGGCCGTCGCTGGCGCTTGGAGGACTGACTCGGGAGAAGGGACCAGGCCGGATATACGGACTAACCATTGTTATAACTCACAAAGGCTGCACAGGCATGAGCAATCATATCCATGCACAGACGTGACAAGTCAAACTCAGAGACTGCTACTCATATCTGTATATCCCTCAGACTGAGTTTGCTTTATGCCTACGTGTGTGCACGCAAGCGCGTGTGTGTGTGTGTGTGTGCGCGTTCCAGTGCGTCTCTATCTGCCTGTGCATGTGTGTCTGCACGCATTGGCGCTCCCGTGTTCGTGTGCATGCGTGTGTCGATCCATGTGCATTCGCATCCACGGTTCCCTCTCATTTCCCGTCTGTCATCACGCGCCGATGTGGAAGGGGACGTCAAAATAGTCGCACTCGCTCGCTCGCTCACACGCATACAGGCGCAAAGAATTCCTTAAAATTAGAGGGTGGGAAGCATATACCGAGGACCCGCCAGAGCCCTGCACCCCCAGCTACAGGCCCCCTCTCTCTCTCTCGTAACATCTCAGCATCGAGCCTCACTGCCAAACACCATAGAGATGCCACTGAGGCAGAACGCTCACCAAACCGGACCACAACCCTGCCACAGCCCCTCCTACCCCACTGAGACCTCCTCTTGCTTTAGCTCTCCCTTCATTCCTTCCTTATCTCTCCATCTCATAGCCGCTTTGCAGCCTCCGTGTCCCTCTCCTCCTTTTCACAAGTTTAAAGAAATCCATTTTGTTTTATTTTCTGACCTCTCCCGTGACTCCAGACGCCGCCCGTCTACCACCGTCAGCTGACGTGGAAGCAGCATGACTGGCATTAGCGCTTCCTCTTTTATTTCTGTTGCATTTCCACTCTTTACTGGACTGTTTCTTTCTCTCTGTCTCTCTCTCTTTTTTAAATTAAAGCAAACATCAATGTGTATTTGTTTCTATTTTTTTTCTCTTTTCATTAATGCCTGTTTCTTTTGTACTCATATGTGAAAACATGTCTTAGCGGGAGTATTTTACTTGAAGTTGCCCTAAAAGGCACCCAACCAGAAGGGATTTGATTGAGACGCTCGCATGGATCATGTGTTGTTGTTTTTTGTTTTTTTTTTCTAGCTTTGGGGTTTGTCTGAATGTAGAGTCCATTGTCTGTGAGCTCTGTGTTGAGGACACTCTGGTTCAGGAATGCAAAACTGAAAGGGGATGGGCGAGAGGGGTTGTCCTAATCATTAAATCTAATCAATCCATGGCCTGACTAAATGTCTTTGTGTTTTGGCTGCGCGTTGTGTGCTCTTGCAATCAAAGCGAGGGGTTTTTGAGTCCAACTGTAGCTCCCGGGAAGCTGGAGGAGTCTTGGTTTACATTTCACACAGAGGATGGAAAGGAAAAGAAAATATAGAAAATGTCAATGCGAACATTAAAAGCTTAGCATTTTATAAATTGGCCAAATCAAACCTCTCCCACGCTCCTTCTTTAATCCCAAGGGAGTGACTGTAGACAGACCATTAGCCGATTAATTCACCACCACCACCCTCCCCAACTGGAGATCCCTTTCCCACCCACCTTCCTGGATGTGGCCCAGCCCGAAAAACTACAGCTGCTACAGTATGGAGAATCCATCGGGGTGCTGCTTTATGCTTTTCAACTCCTCCCCAGTGACTCTCCAACGGGACGATATGCTTTCCACATTACTGTAGCTGAGTTTCTGGAGGAGCTTGCCAAAACTGCACTTTCACATCATCATATTCTTAAACTGTCCATTGTTGTGGTTTATTATTTCTCCTGTATGTGTGTGCGTGTGTGTGCCGGATGACGTCCTCTGTGGGAGGTAGACCAGTCTGTGAATGTGTTTCTAGTAGTTTAAGTGCGTGAGTGTTTTAAGGAGATTAAAACAACCCAGTCGACCAGTCATATTTGTTTTTGTTAACCAGGGCTTTGTTTCCAAATGTGCGTCTGTGCTTTGAGTATCACTCACCTTCCTGGTTATTAGAAAACTCACAGCAAGCCTATTTTCAGTTTTAAAATATGTTTATTTTTTCAGTTTCATATGAAAAAGTGTCTCTCCTGCATTAAATCACTGTATTTCAGGTGGAGCAAATGCATTCGATCTAAAATAATTCCACAATTTCACACACTCTCTTACTATTATCCCCCCCCCCAGATGTCACATAAGTTCCCCAATGAATCTTACAGACATTGTGCTTGGAGTACAGATGAGGTGCGCAAGCAAACCAGTTTCGGTACTAAAGGACATGTCGGGCTGCACGCTCGGTGGAGCAGCACATTCCTCGAGCTGCACGTTCCTCGGTTACAGTGGCACAGCTTTACACCGCTACACAGAGCGGCAGAAAATTCAGCAACTTTCGCTTATTTTTACAGATTAACAACCAAAGCGGCCACTTCCTTGCCCTTCCTAAGTGGAAAATAATGACTCAGAGCTGCCCCGGAGCTGCCCGTGCTAATGCACTGAACTGTGGTGGTGTGAAGTACACACACACACACACCTCGCGGGAGAGAAGTGAAGGGGGCAGCTGGCATTTTTGGGGGTTTTTTTGGGGGGGGGTTGCTATATAATTAACTGTAATGTTCAGAGAACTTCCTCTCACTTCTCTGTCGCACACTCACACGTCCAAGGAACATTAACGGCCTGCCTTGTGAATAGATCTAATTTTGGGGGGATTTCTGAATGTGTTTCTGGGGGTTTTGTAATTCTTTGTTTCTTTTTTTTGCTTTCTGGGTGGCAGGCGGGGGGGGGTTGGATAGTAGGGTGGAGCGTCACAGTCTGTGTCCTGTGCTCACTTCATTAGATTTTAAATGGCCTACAGGGAGATCGCGACTGCCTTTCACATCACACCACCTGCATTTCCCATTACACACAGTTACACTCACAGTTACTCACAAGGCCACCGCATCCCTCCACACTTCACACTCTCTCGGACTCGCACACGAACAGTACAAATATCTATCCACATGCTTTCTTTCCTCGTACTTTCAGCACAAACAAAAATATACTGTATTATATAAACCACTCACAATCATTCACAAGCACAGATGTGCACATGGCATAAACACAGCATGTGGTCATATATTGTTTTTGCTTGAATGTCCATTTTTCATACAGTCCGCTGCTATAAATCATCCAGTCATCGCTCATTCCTGTACATATAAGCCTGCAAATCTTTTTCTCACACACATCCATGCAAACACAAACACATGCAGCCTTTACTTGATCTCCGGGCTGCAGTGAACTGTGCATTATTACTCATCAGGGCTGCACAATCCTCCGAGATGCAGTTTTGTCTTTGCATCCAGTGAGAGGATATTTATGCATCTGCCTTACGCATCGCAGGCTGAGCCTAGCTCGTTCCACCTTTCATACAAAACAGACACAAACCACACACAGTTACAGGGCAGGTCCAGCTACCAGGAACAGCTTTATGAGTCCTTCATGTGAGTCTGACTCCCTGCCTTCTTTTTTTTTTTTTTTAACCCCCCCACCCTGGCAGTGTGCCCAAAGGTCTGTCTGCCGCAGCCCTCACAGGTTAAACTTCACAAGTTAATCTTTGAAAATAAAGTGGTAGAGTGGTCTGCTGGTTGGGCCCTCGTCACACTGTCACTGGAGGGTGTTTCTGATCACTGGTGACACTGGAGCCAGCAGTGGGAGGAGGGCAGGGTGACTGGAGGGGTCTGTAGCCCCCCTGAGTGGGGTCCAAGTAGGCTGCGGTAGAGGACATGGGGTGGGCATAGCCGATGTACTGCGGATGCAGGAACTGTCCCTGGTGAGGCATGATTTGGGTGGCCTGCTGACAGTTGAGTACGGAGAAGTTGGTGGGCATGTTGACAAAGACGCTGGCATCAGGGGGCAGGCAGCAGGAGGCCTGAGCCCGCATGACTGGAGGAGGGCCAGTGCGGGGGACAGCGGCTGGAGCGGACGAGCTGGACGAGGTGGCTGTGCTGGACTGGCGGGATGAGGAACCCCTGGAGGTGCTCGCCATCATAGGGATGGTTTCCAGGAGGCGCCCACCACCGCCGGCCCCACCTCCTGTCGTGCCTCCAGAGGACAGTTCCTGCTTGGGTCGGAGACACCGGCAGCAGCACACAGCGACCACAGAGCCCACCACGATGAAAGCCACGAACACTGAGCCCACGATGAGGAATGGCACGTAGATGGGAACTACAGAGAGAAAAGAAGAAGAGACATTGCCATTAAACTGACATTAATCCAATTCATTTTTATTTCTACAGCACCAATTTGTCACTTTATATTGTAAGGTAGACCCTACAATAATACATACAGAGAAAAACCCAACAATCATATGACCCCCTATGAGCAAGCACTTTGGCAACGGTGGGAAGGAAAAACTCCCTTTTAACAGGAAGAAAACTCCGGCAGAACCAGGCTCAGGGAGGGGCGGCCATCGGAGCAGATGTAAAACAGCTGTAAAACATGCGATTAGTGAAAAAAACTATTGCCTGTTAAGCTGTGCTGCCTTGCATGCTCACATGTCTTGCTTATCTGCACAGGGGCTCCTTGATGTGAGTGGTGATTGAATGAGACAGTGAAACAAAGGACTGGAGCAGAAAAATAGAAGGTACACTGGATTTGAGTCCCCAGGGAGTCCCAGAGTCTCATTAGCAGTTATTAACTTTGTTTTGATCTGTTTTAATCCTGCACACCCCACTGTGTCCCCGGCCTCTTCAACCCCACAGACCTGTGTGCATTTGTACTGGTGACATTCTTAAGCCTCGCTGCCAGCCAACATTTGTGACCCTTTTCTCGCTCTCTCATTTTTTTCCTCTTACCCCTATTTTTTTTTTTTTACTAATCCTCTGAAAATAAGTTACTCAAGTTGAAGTACAGTACTTGGCATCTGCTTAAAGAAAGGTATGAAAGTGGACTGATTTAATGTAGCTGAATGGGAGGTTATTCAGCTCTTTAAATCAGAGGAATAAACCAGCTCCTTCTCACTGACCTTTTCTTTGTTTCTGCTTAACGCAGCAAATCATACTCTCAACAACTACGTATTTGTGTAACTCTCACAGTTCCACCAATCAGACTATAAATTGCTGGGTCAAATAGGAGATGTCTGTGTGAGCAGGTAGAAGCTTTGGCGCGTTATTATGCGAGAAGAACTCAGTGTCAGTCTGTAAATTTTGTGAAGTGAGCAGGAAAAGCTCCAAAAACAAGCCTAAAGCGCAATCAACAGTAGGAACAGTTTTTCCTGACTCTTCGTTTTCGGTAAAGCATTGAAGGCTGAAACAGGGCGACATTCAAGATGAGGTCACCGCCGATGAGGTGTTTCCCTCAGTTGCTCATTCCCATGCTCACTACCACAAACACCTTTCAAAGCACAATAACGACCATGTTACATTACAAGTGATTAGTTGTGTTTTATTGTTCCCACTGGGTGTAGTTATTTTCCACTTTGAATGTGTCCGTGTATTACGAGGTGTAACTGTATGCCGGAGAGAGAGAGAAAGAGAGGGAGAGAGGTGGCAAACTGGCTCTAGTTTCCTTTTGTCTGTGAGCTCTTTGAAATGCATCCATGGGACTTTGATTTTTTTTTTCCAAAATGCTCATCAAACGTGGCAAGGTATTAAAAGGATTACTGCATGGAAGCTGTTAAGAGCAGGAGATCACTCATGGGCAGAGGCAGCAAGGTCTTGGTAACAAGAGCAGAGGCAGAGGCACGCCGACATGAAACAAACCAGGACCTTGACCCATTTCCTTTCGACAAGAAGTGGTGTTAACTTAAGAGGCTTCTGCACCACACAGCTGCACACCTCACAGTAAACAGGTTGTAAAAGGAACATTTACAGTATAAGTGACAAGAGCAGAAATGTACCAGGGAGCCTCTCTGTGCCATCTTTCCTGTACTTATATGGCCTCCACCTCAACATCTCTACCTCCACTCCCTTTTTATGCAATGCTAATGAGGAGCAGTCATTTCAAGGACTTTCTCCTTGTGTTGCTTTACCCCTGGCTTCACTGCTATTAGAGCTACTTTCCCAAACACTGTACGGTAAATCATTAATGGAGTGAATAAAGGTCCTAAAAAGTTAATGCACAGTAGTAAATAAGCTCTTTACTGTACACAGCAATCAAAAAATCAGCTACCATATGAGCCTCACTTTTTGTATATTTCATTATTACATCGCTGGTAATGGATCAGTTTGAATCTTGTGGTTGTTGTAGCTGCTGAAACTGAATCTGTAGAGTCAGGGAGTTTAGGCCTTTGGGTCCTAT